TCTCCACAGCCCCCTCCCCTATCCTCCTTCCTCTCTTCACTACCCCCTGCGTCGAGGTGTGGTTTAGTACTGAATGATTTCCGGTGTGAGGATGGTTGACTCAGGTGCAGACAGAAGCTCTTTGGTGTCTCTGAGCTGGAGGAAGAATTTTGTGGTTAACTGTTTTTCATTTCCTTCAAGGTTGGGAGATGGTTGTGTGGTTGTATGCTAATGGTGGTGGTGATGGAAAAGTGGGGGGGGGGTGGTGGTGGTGGAAGAGGGGGGGGAGAAGTTATGATGATAGTGGTGGGATAGAGAAGATGGTGGTGATAGTGGTACGGATCACTTGTATCAACAACCCAGTACTTGAGAGAGAGAGAGAGAGAGATCATCATAAACATATACCACCATCATCACACTATCCACAGTATACAAAAGCCTAGTCTTCAGTTCAGGCCTTCCCTCCCACCTCCATGGTAGCACCTGGTAGTACAATACACAATACAGTATACCCTCCTCCCTCCACCTGACCCTATTATCTCTCTCCCCCTCTCGTATTCCCACCCCGGGGTGTTGTGGTTAGTTTCTAAGGCTGGGTCTTCAATGAATTATGATTTATGTTTTCATGAGTCAACGCGCTGGAAATTTTTGCGAAGTTAAGTTGTATAATAATACAATATTTCTGAATGATAAATGTTTTTGTCATTTTGGTGGACAATAATTACAGTTTCATAGTTTCTACGCTGTAGATAACATTTTAAAATTATACACTAAGTGACGCGGGGAGGACAACGTCGTTGACAAAGAAAATAATAATTTGTTTACAAGGCATTCACAACAATGTTTCCATGTTGGACACGGTCGAGATAATTATACAGTATATATCAGTATCATATTGGTAGCTGTACCGCAACCTTTCTGCCACTTGCATTTCAGTTTCCTACGATAGTTACTACAATATCTTGCAATAATTCATCTCAGTAACAAGTATGTCATAAGCTTTAACCTTGGTTTGACCTACTAAACCTAATACATTATTCAAATTAATGTTATACTACAAGGCTGGCTTCTCTTTCTCAATACTACGATTATTTGGTCAGCCATCATCGTTGTCTAGAAAATAATTATGTAATTTAAGATCTCCGTCACGGGTAATTTCACGTTGGTGTTCGGATGACAATTGTTTCTGATGAGGACGGTAAGTGGGCAGTAATGTTGGTGAACAATTCCGGGGGCTCAGGGTTGGAATCTTGTTACAACGGATCGTTTTTCCCTGAGTGGACAAGTGATTTAGCAAGTACATTTCTCTATGATCACATGAATAACTTAAGCTGACGAAAGTTCATTACTGTTGTTACGCGAGCATACCAGTTCAAACTTTATATTATGTATTATTTTTTAATTTACTTCGGTGGAAAGATAAAGCTGTTCCTTAGAGGCTGGGCGCACTGGTGAGAAGCAAGCACATTACCGATTCATTGTATCACGGAGGAAAATTATTCTGACTAACAATTAGGGTAGTGAAGCTCTTTGTTAATGAAGAATAGTAAACCTAATTAACTGCAAGGCGGGTGACTGTTGTTACAAGACGATACCAGACCGAATGTAATGTATAAGCGAAGGCGTGTAATAGGTTAAAGTTATCCTGCTGTAAGACACTTTGTTATGAACTAAAAAAACTTAATGGTATATTATAAACAACAATCTTACTAATGGGTTATATTACTCACATTATCAAGTCCTGACTTGTAAGGGTTGACTCGACTCGTCATTTTACGACCCAGTGATTCTCCCCTTTCTACCAAAGAAATGTTTTACATTAAAAAAATAAAACCAGGGTCCCGGACGTTGTAGGAGTCATTTGCTTTCGTCGTCACTCAGTGTATAATTGATGACGTCATCGTAGGGCTCTGCGACTCGGGCCTTGTACTCAACCACACTACTCTTCATTTATTTACTTAGTTATTGTTTCTTTGTTCCTTATTATTATTATTATTATTAGTAGTAGTAGTAGTAATACCTGTAGTAAATTTTTCTGTTATATAAGTATATGATAACAGTATACGTACTCACACGCTACATATTCATTACTCAGAAAATTTACTCTATGGCTTCTTCTTAATGACTCTACTTGTTGTCTAGTGTGAAAATGATCGTCAACTTTACTGTTGAAGCAGAAATTAAAACAATAACACTTTGAACCTAACTGAAGAATTGCAAAGAATTCCTAGCTCGAGGCTGAGGTATTGTTTAGTAAGCTTGTGACTGATATAGGAGACTGGATTCGCACCTCTCACCATGCAACAACAACACCTAGCAGGCGGCCACAGTATTCAAGTCATAAAAGTTATTATGGCATTTACATTAGATGAAAGTAAGGTACATGACGGGGCAGAAGGGGATTCAAGGATTTAATTATAATCCCTGAGAAAGTTTTGATATTTTTCGGTGTTGAATGTAAGAAGTGTTGTGTGCGATTAGGCGTACCGGTGACTGTGGCGGTGTGACAGTAAAGGGTGTATTATTTCCGCCGCCACGCACACAAGACAGGTCCACTATAGTGTTGCTTGTACTGTAGTTAAATTAGAAATAAATACAAGAATTACACTATCATAATCTAGTTACATTAATATGATTGCGCTTATTATTCTTTGCATTATGCAGGAAACATCGAGATACTTCGCACCGGGTATGTAAATACCATTAAATTAAAAAAAATGTATTGTCGTTATTTATGTGGGTATAGCGGAATATTTTTTGTTAAACATATTAAAAAGATATCTTGTGTCAGTATATTATCCGAAATAACACCACAAAAACTGTCCATCATCATATACAGTAGACTGAAAAAAAAAAGATAATTTTCCCTCCACGATAAAGATTTGAAAGTAATATTAAACAGTTCAGTAAGACAATACAATAATTTATATCATATTTATCGCTAGTAACAATGCTGTGTATTCATTTCCCTGCTCTGTGTGTGTGGTATCGGATATTATTCGTAATTTCAATATCTTAAAATTATCATATTAAAGTTTAACATAATACAAGTGTTTTTTGATACACCTACTATCTGTGATGCTAAAAATAACATGGTTATTCTAAGCTTATACTCTCTCCTTATCTATTCTCTTACTATCGCTACCGCTTTTTTTTTCCTTTTCACGTAATGTTTTGTCTATTCAGTCTAAATCTCTCGGTCTGTCTGTCTATAATATCAACGTTTCTCTCAATCATTCCGTGTTTAGTAAATATATTTCTTTCTATCTCTGTCAGTCTGCCTATCCTCATCTCACACACCAAGGACTCACTATCCTGCTATGATTCACCACCGGTCTGTGTCACTGCAAGGCGATGTGTGGTGCAATACTGTACCACTAACTTCTCTATCTCAGAACTTGTGCTGTGAATCACCAGCAGTTGACTAGCACAGTTCTCCTGCTGATGTAAGAGTTATTGTTGTCGTTACTACTGTTGTTGTTGAGCAAGGTCTTGAAGCATCGTCCACAAGGTTTTGCACGAGGAAGCAGCATTTATAAATTATTAAACGATATTACAAGAGGAAGAAACGGTCCTTAATAATAATAATAATGATGATAATACGAAACATTTCAATAAAAATGTAACATCATATAAAATCACTCCCACATGATAATTATACTATTACTAATATAAAATTGAAGAATAAGAACGAAAGGGAACTAACTGACTTGCTCCTTTCGAATCTTTGTAGGTGGGAGCGTTGTAAAGTATTATAATAGTTATTGACTGTGTTATTGAGTTCAATCATGTGTTTGATGGTAATTGTGTTATTTGTATTTTGTTATGGTTACCTTTCTTGCAGGGATGGCGGATAATAAAATAAATATATTACTGGGCAAAGTTGAGGGTAGGAGGGCCAGGGGAAGGCAGAGACTGGGATGGATGAATGAAATTAAAAACTGGGTCCTCAGAGATACAAAACGCTAGATGATTGGTAAAACCAGCCCAAGAACCTCAAGAGTGGAGGACTATGTCGTCAACCCTCAGGTACAGTGGTCCCTCGGTTAACTAGCACAATCCGTTCCAGCAGGTTGCTCGTTAACCGAAACCATTGTTTCAATGGGTTTTTGGGTAATTGGTTCCAGCTCACCGAAAATTGCCTAAATTCAACAAAAAAGGTAGAAAAGTACACTTACTTTGAGGTGTGTATGTAGAAGGCTCCTGGATGATGATGATGATGGGATTTAGAATGGGGGTGGAGGAGAAGGAAGAAGAGAAGGCACTGGGGTGGAAGAGAAATCACCCCATGGCACCATTTCACCCATAAAATTTTAGCTCTCTTGGTGTAATTCAAGATTATTTTCTTTAAATCAACACTGCACTGCATTATATATTGTCAATATGTAAAATATATTTCAAAATGACCAATAATTTGCTTGGAAACACAGAAAAAAAGCGTTTAGTTGAAGAGAGTCTCAAGTAAGATGTTACCTCCACTGAAAACAGAGAGAGAGACTAACGCCTGTCTGGTGTGTTAACAGGCTGGATGGCACGCCAGAAACTAGTTTCTTTACCTTCAATTATGTTCGATAATTGTTAAAATGACTAAAAAAGTTAAAATTAAACTTTTAAAATTATTGAATAGTATAAACTTCTTGATATTTACAAAAATAGTAAGGAATTTAAGCCCTAAAACCGATTACTGTATTGGCGGACTAATACTACAGCTGGTGGACCGCCAAATGCAAGCGAAAACATGTTGAAGTCGGCTCCTAAAAAACTCGTTAATTGAGGTGATTGCTCGTTAACCGAAGTTAAGAATCTTATGGAAGGTAAATCGTTAACCGAAATCTCGTTAACCGAGGCGCTCGTTAACCGAGGGACCACTGTATAAGGACGGTACTATGATTGATTGATTCATAGCAAGAGTGTTAATTTTAGCAATTTTATTTCACCCAACATTATTATCTTTATTTCACATATTCGTGCATTCGTTATTACACTTACCTTCTCGATGCTCATTTATTTGTATCTTCCAGGAGCTTCGGTGTGTCAAGTAAACCGTAACATAACCTCAGGCAGTGAGTCACACACTACTGGGGTTAGTATCAGCCAGGGCGATGATTTCATATCATGTCCGGGGCCTCACGACCCTGCCAATCACACTGCCTGTTGCTACACTAGCGAAGACGAATCTGAATTTGGCGTTGAAGAGTCTCAAGACGGCCCCAGATGCTGCGTCCCTCCACCACAGCCTACGGGCATGTTCTACATAAACGACCAGTAAGTGAAGGACTACCTAAGGTGTGTAGTGATGGCAGTTCATGACTAAGGTGAATAAGGCATAAATATATTTATTCAGTAAAATCCTCACACAAGTTCACTTTGGTTCAGAATGTACATAGGCAATGCAGGTATACAACGTGCAGTACAGCAGTATCTTTACATAACCAATGCAAGGAGTGTATAAAATGTACAAAGACAAATCAGATAATCTCCAGTACTGTATACAATTTACTTAATGCAGATAGACAATGCAAGTATACTATACTTTGTGCATTGTCAATACAGTCATACAAACAAAATACTGTACAGAGTGCAGCTATACAATGTATATTCTGGGACTAAAGTCGTGGACAGCTGCACTGGACCTAGATTAGCGACCTCTGGCAATGAGAATAATAATACATGTATGTTGTGTTGTCAAAGTAAGAGAAACAATTGAGACCCTTCAACTGTGTGTAAATGAAGCAGAAAGTCAGATCAGCAACCTGGAACTTGGTCACAATTTTGTGATACCATATGGCAGCAGGGTCTACCATTAGACAACACATCATGCTTCTAATATCTTCCCAGACGGCAGTACCTCCCTGTTTGATAATGGGTCGTCAGTGAGGACCGCTCTTTCAGACCACATGTAAAAGAGAAATTTATGATGTTTGAGTTCAACGAAGTGTGGCAGCGAAGAGTAACCTGACTCAGCAAAACGACACCTGGTTCGATGTCTTTCTCATCACTATATGTAACTTGCTGACAAAACCCGTGGCCCTTCAGGCATTTACGCCCTTAATACACAAGTCACGAAGGCAAGCATGACCTTCACATGCTTTCCTGTTGGGCGCTGTAAACGCGTCTGCGCTTCGCATTGCACGGGATGCAAGGGGGTTTCCAATAAACTAGCCCCCTCGCGAGGCAAATTGTAAATTGTAATACCCTATCTCAGTATTTCACAAGAAAATAATATTTTTTATAACTTTAGCTAAAGACACCAATGGAATGACACAGGATATACTGTATATGCAATGCCAGAGAAGGAAAGTTTAAAAGGAAAAAAAGATTTTCACTTTTAGACTATGTAGTATTTACTGTAAATAAGAGGTGCAGATTAAAATAGGTTAATTATAACTGTCTGCCACATTTAATGTTCCTATGATAGAGAGGCACAGATAGATATATAGATATTGTACAAATAAATAGAGAGAGAGAGAGAGTAAGGAAGAAGGAAAAGGGGAGAAGGAGAATGAGAGAGACAGCTGGGGTGAGAGGAGTGCCCTGAAAACTCGTGGTCAGAGGCTGAGAGAATCCCAATTCATTACACAGTATACTGTACAACAATACCAAGCCGCAGAGATCCATTTATTGTTTACATTATTTACGGAATCATTATTGCAAAATAATTTGCAAAGTTATTAAGAATGATATATTCATATTATTTTGTAAAATATTTTTACAATAGGTTGCAGATTGTGTCAGCCTCTGGCAGTGCTGTTCACTTCCCATTGGAAGTGGGTGGTTTTATAAACTCTAAGGTACAGATGCATTGTACTGTATAGTGCTAAGCAGGTCACTCCATCTTAGCCAGTGATACTTTCTACTGTTACTTATCAGTTACTTTAAGAGTATCCCCGCTTACTACTCGTCTTTCTGGGGAATTCATATTAAGTTTTTGTCTATACACTATTCATGCGGGAGATTACAATGACCCAGAATTATTTAATTTATTCTTCTCTGTGCCGACTCAAGGGGATTCGTATCAATTCTAAAATAGAACAATAAAACTGAACAGCATTATGAAGGTAGAGTCTAACAAGAGTCAGATATTGTTGTAGTATAACTTGTGTACTTTTGTTACACTTGTAGAGATAAAACCCAGAACCTTATTTAGTACTTTATTTCTTACATTAATTTACTGTTTCATGCCGATATATTCCAGGTTTTATTATATCGTACTCTTAATAATACAAGACAAAAACATTATTACAAATTGTTCACTATTGCTAGTTGTGAGAAAAGTTTGATTGACACAACTTTCAATTTTACTTGTGATTTTGGTAATGGTAGCCCAAGTAAATGATACTTGAATATTTCTCTCATAAGCAGCTGGTTCAAATTGAAGACTGCATATCTGATCATTAGCAGTTGTCTTTTCTCTTGCAGATATTAATCCACGTGTATCTGAGTTCTCCATATATATATATATATATATACAGTATACATATATATATATATATATATATATATATATATATATATATATATATATATATATATATATATATATATATATATATATATATATATATATATATATATATATATATATTTATTTATTTATTTAATGAATATTATTGGCCAAAGAAAGGCTATAGGTTGGAGAATAAGTCGTGGTAAAGTTTACCTCCGAGATTATTATAAGGTATTGGCCAGTAGAGTTAAGACCGAGATGAGAAAAGCAAAGGGGAATAATGAACTGAAGGTAGCAAGGGAGGCAAAGTCAAACCCCAAAGGATTCTTTCAAATGTATCAAACTAAAACACCAGACAAGATTGGATCAATAGTCAGATACCCCTGTACCGGTGAGCTAACTGATAACGACGGGGAAATGAGCAATAATTTGAACAGATATTTTTCATCAGTTTTCACCACCAAAAATTTAAACATGATAACCGAGGCACCGACTATATACAGAGATAGTGAAGAAACTAGATTAAGCGAGATAGTAGTGACTAGTAACATTGTTAGTAAGCAAATAGTCAAGCTAAAGCCTAATAAGTCACCAGGTCCCGATGAGATATTTGCCAGAGTATTAAAGGAATGTAATCAAAAGCTTAGTGTACCCTTAGTAAATTTGTTTAACGTCATTAAAAACAGGGTGTAGTACCAGAATCGTGGAGGATAGCGAATGTGATACCGATTTTCAAGAAAGGAGAACACGATCCTCAAACTACCGGCCAATCAGTTTAACATCAATTATTGGCAAATTGCTGGAAGCAATAATTTCAAACTATTCGAAATCACCTGGAGAAGCACAAGTTACGAATGTGAATCATGGTTCATTGATCAAGTTCTACTAATATAAACTCATAAAATTTGTCCTTCAAACCGACTGAACCCTCAGCATTCACTCTTTGTATTTCAGTGAACCAAAAGAGACATAAAACAAATCCCAAACTGATTCCTCAACTTCTAGTCAGCTACTTGTCTGAAGTGTGCAAGGTGGGCCGAGTTAGTAATGTGTGGGGCCAGTTGGTTATTTAAGATGAGCCGAGTTGGCTAACTGGGTGGGCCGAGTTGGAGGTACACCCAACAAGTTATGTGCCCTCCACTGCAGGTGTATAACAAAATTCTGAAGGGAACTGTACTTGATGGGGGTTTTATAGTTTCCTGTGGGGGAGGGGGGGGGAGAGTTTATGTCAACTTCAGGTAATTATTTAGGGTCAATTCAGTTTTCCTTGCATTCTCATTATTCTCAACCTTTTAAAATAAATTTTAGTAACTACAGTACTACATGTATATGTAAAATATTGTATGTGTACAGTACTGTACTGTATACCTAAATCTGTGGTTATACAGTGCAGTACCTGTACTGTATTATTCCTGGATAAATTATTTAAAATTGATTCAATTCACCTTTAATTTCTGTAGAGTATTATACTGTACTAATAATTATATTACAACTAATGTGTGGTGTGGTGGACAGGCTGGCCATGATCATCGCCCTGAGTGTGACGACTGTGTGTGTCATACTAACCATCATCATTATTGTCTGCTGCTTCTGGTCACGCTGTCCGCTCTACTCTGCATGTCGAATACGCTACCATCAGGATGACATTATTGCCTATGGTAGGTACCTTCCATCCCTAACTTCTTTCTTCCACTTGAATTGGCAAAGCCTGAGAACCTTGGTTCATGAAATCTCATGTGGATTGCTTGGGGCGTCACTGAGCAAACCTGGTTGTTCTCAGTGGCTGAGTGAAAAAGGAAGACGTTTTATCAAAAGATCATTTCATTATTACATGTAATCATCCTTCCTAGCATGAAATATTGCCATAAATCCTAGCAATGACAAGTTATATCCAGTGTGGAATCTCACAGGTCATTTCACTCATTTCCATGGCCATAAAATTAAATTTTAAGGATTCATTTCTCAAATGTTCTCAAAAACACAAATTATACACTACAGGGTATGTTAGGTTAGGTTCTATGCCTTGTCATTTCCATTTTTGTGTTTAATATCATATTAGTGTGTAGAAACTTTTCAGTCAATTCCTTCTGGTGGTAGCGGTTATCAACACTTACCTAACCTAACCTAACCAGGGGGTAGGGTTCATGCCCCCATATCTTACCTTAATTTGAAGAATCAGGCCAAATATGTTGTTCTTCACGCAGTGTACACTGATTATTACGCTTTGGACAAGTAACGTTGTGTAATAAAACACCAGCTTTACTTTACTTGAGGCTTTAATGAGCAGAGAATTGCAGTTCCTGTGAAAGAGCAAACATGTTAAGTGAGTTACATGAATAACAAGGAAATAAGTACAAAGTAATTATCATTTCTATACACAAGCCTTCTTTATATATTCCTCAGTAAGTGCTAGTTATCACAACTCATAATCATCTGTGGTAACACGGTAAACCGGAAATACATTAATTAACTGACCTTGTATTAACATTCTAAGGGCCCGCCATGAGTGGGAACAACAACAACTGGGCCAAGGACCATGAGTATAAGGGATCCTTTAGTATAAACCTATCAATTTTCCGTACAATACACTACATATTTATTTACAGCTAAATAATAACTAAATATTACCACACGTTGTTCGGTAATACACAGTGTTTACAAAAAAAAATGAAATGGCCTCACTATTTTTCTGATAAACGCGGCCATTGACTGACTGTGAAACAGACCATTGTGGGCACAGCTCTTCCACCAGATCTGGCACCCACGCATTGTCCATTGTCTAAGACAAAAACTCTTGCCCAATAATAATGGCTTTTTCGTAAGGCGTTTTAGATGCATGAATTAGCTAAACTTTTTTTTTAGCTATTCCCGGACTGTCATTAAAAAATACGACATTGTACCGTGTCTTGGGAATAATTGTTGTACAGTCTTCAGAACAATAAAATTAAGAGAACTGTGTTATTTGGACACAATACTAAAGAAACAGTGGATAAAATATATAGAACATGGAATGAAAGACAAAAGAGGATAAAAAAGTCAACCAGTCAACAATAAATAAACATAAAAAAAATAGGTCCCTTGTAAAGGTAATTTCTCTCGGACTCTGAAACCACACTACTGTCTCACGGCTAGGTGTTCGCATATTTATACACGAAATACGACGAATTTTAGCCGTTTAAATCTTAATTTTTGCACTTACAGAACTGTAATCAACTTGTTCACCCTTATTGATAATAAAGTTTCAATCATATTTGAGTACTAATCAATATTCTTTCACCAAAGTAACCAACAGTTAATGAAATCGAACAACACCCATTTGAAAACGGGCGGAGGCAAAACAGGTTTCAACTAGGCGCAATCCTTTTCAATTCTTTGACACCATACACTTTGTTTTAGGTCCTATCCAATATACTACCATATATATAATTATTTTTATTATTACGTATATGGCAGTTTTTTATTGTCTTAAATGCCCCCAACTCTTCAATATTAATCAAAATATTCTCCATAAGCGGCCATGATCCCAGTATTTACACACAGTTTCAATGAGAGAACTCGCTGATTGGATGTTAGCTATTAGGGCGCTGCACACGCTAACGCCTAATCAAGGCGTTTGCTTTTCCCTCTCAAGGTGTCATACTCAGAACTCAGCAGAAGCGTCTGAGCAGACAGAATAGTTAACGCGAACACGTAGGCAAGGAGCACTGGGTGGGGGGGGGGGAGGATGAGACCTTCGCCAGATGTTAACAACACATGGCGACACTTGTGACTGACCAAATATAATAATATTGGAAAATTAATATCTCCGTTATCCTTAATTTCCGACGAAAATATCATTGAAGAAAAATGTCTTAAAAATGTCTAAAGATTACGAAAAACATATTAATAAAAGCGAGAGAAAGACCGGTGCTTTTTCTGTTACAATTTTAATAATTTTCTTACATTAAAAATAAATTTTAGTATCCAGAAAGGATGAACTTTGATATCTGTTATAGCATATGAACAAATAAATTTTGAGACAAAAATTTCAAATTTTAGTGAATGCCAATTCAGTATCTTTATTTACAGCCTCAAAAGATGAAGAGACTGCCGGCCTTAACGACATGCCCCCGGAGGAAACAAAGGGTGTTTCAATCTACTCTCCCAATGCAGTCAAGGTCACACTCAAGAATGATGTATACGGGTAGTGATTTTTGTAGCATCTCCTCAATTTAGACCTTTAGAATTACTTAAGTATTCTAAATTTTCTATTATAAATTTAGTATACAGGGTAATGCATCATTACTTCATTATACTGTACAGTACATGTGCTGAATTATGCTGCAGTAACTTAGTATAATCGTGCATCATTAATTCATTATACTGACTAAAGAAGCATTACTTCAGTATACTGTACAGACATATACAATATTATTTCAGTATACTGACTACTGGAACAGTACCTCAAGCAGATAGCACAAATAACAGAAAATAGCTTGTTATATAAGACGATGATATAGTACACTGAAGGTCTTTAATGCACCATAGACACAGAGCCTAACAGACACTATTTTAGATCAGTTTTCATTCAAAATTACAGTACAGGTGAATTGTTGTTTCCTGTCATCCATAAGTGTCACCATCTACACACTTAGGTGAATTAAATTGACAGTTATCTTGAGTAAATTTTTTATTAAAATCACAGGAAATGTTCCATAAGGAATGTTACTGGGTTTTTGTTTGCAAGATATATCTATTTTCGTTGGTGGTGCACCTGCATATACCCGGTAGTATGGACGTAAATTATAAAAATTTTAGATTGAGTTGTGGCCATTGTGGTGTCTCAGTGGGCAAGGGTATATATTTAAAACATGAGCTCATTCAGCCAAGATACGTAAAGGCAACAGCTCACTACCCTAGAAATGAGTAGGCACTACTTCAACCAGAGTAAAGATGGGTACTAGCTCATCAACCAAGTTAAAGATGGATACTAGTTCATCAACCAAGGTAAAGATGGGAGTTAGTTCACCAACTAGGCATGGAGGGGCAACAGTTCATTAACCAAGGTAGCCACCAGCTTATCAACCAAGTTGTGGATGAACATCAGCTTAGATAGATGAAGTAAAATGCTCTTCCTGTTGTAGCTGCTGAAGAACTGAGGAGTGAAGATCAACACTTTGCACACATGTGGCAACAGCAGCTTATGATCTCCACTTTCTTCTAATTATAAATAACTTGCCAAATAAGCTTTTTTATCTTTAGTTTTGTAAATATATACTGTATACTGTACATGTACTTTGTTAACGTCCAGTACAGATTGGCTGTGGGTGAAATGCTAATATAAACTTAATGTTAACATTATTCACCAAGTAGTGTACAGTACTGTATCTCAAGACTCACTATACTGACAAAAATAGTTTTGGTATTCATGAGGTAGGGATTGCAGAGACCAGCTTTTTATATCTAGTGACTGCAAAATTTTTTCATTATTATATAATGAATCCTTTAAACAACACAATTGTAGCATGCCCCCATAACTCCATACTTTAGGACTATTTATTTTGTATAAATGTATAATTTTTTATACAATATATGTTCTTGTCTTGTACTTTTAAAGAACATTTTGTATGTCATATTGATACTCAAGCAAATTATAGAATACCGTAAAGAAGAGAACATGCTAATTTGATAATTATATACGTACCGTATTAGTTTTCTTATACAAAAGATTCCCGGTATTACTTAAAAGTGTAGCAGATAAATCATATTCTTGCTGTAGTTTGGTAACCTTAGATGTGACGAGATTTAGTATCGTTAACTATAAGTACTGTCCCAAAGAATAAGGAATTAATGTAATCAATGATCCTATTGATTATTTTAAACTTTCACTATAGTAAGTGACATTCAGAATAATATTTTTTTTCTTAAACGATCTACATTTTGGTAGCATGGTAGTGAAGGAAACACGACTAAGAGATGGGAGTTTATTCCTGATGTTTCGTTACTAGGAATAAAGCTCCATCTCTTAGTCGTATTTCCTTCACTACCATACTACCAGTTGTCCACAATGAACATGTTCATTGGTTTACATTTTGTCAACTTAAAAATACTTTTCTGAAATATTTTCTTTTTAGCTTTATGTTGCAGAATGTAATTTTTTCTATCTATAGTAGTACAGTAACAGTAACTAAACATTTGTTATATCTTTCTGTTTGAGTCATACACTTCAGTTACAGAACCACTTTCATACTGTATATATATATATACAGTATATATATATATATATATATATATATATATATATATATATATATATATATATATATATATATATATATATATATATATATATATATATATATATATATATATATATATATATATGTATATATTGTATGGAACTTGAATATTGCAAAAAAAAAAGTTTGGTGGACAATTTTTATTTATTTATATAGTGATTCAATAACCAATGTATAATAATTCAATAAATTAATACAGAATAGTACCACAAAATGTGCAGGTATAATTAAATTTAATTTAATGAATACTCATTGGGGTATTGGTGGTATAACACTAAAGGCGGTGGCACATTGGGCACTTTCCTCCAAACATGTTTGGCAAACACGGTCCGGCCAGTAAAACAAACGCAATGAAAACAACAACAAAGCGATTAGACGAGGTTTGCCATGGATCCTGTTTCTACAGTTGAGGCGTTGCAGGATTGTGCTATAGTTCTTCAAATGCTGAAGCAAGTGAGGCGTCCGCAAAAGCGAGAAAAGACAATGGGTGCGACGTGAAGTTTCTTTAAAAGTGGCGGCGGCTGGCTGGTCAAAGAAGACTCCAAATAAGGATTTAATAATACGAGAGAAGTTTTAAAGTGACCAATAAATATAAATATGTCACCGTTTATGTGTTATATTTTAAATTATTATTGTTTCATGATTTTATCAATTTTGTTTGAAATTACAGGGTATTTGAAGCTCATTTGAGCACTAATCCGACCAGTAAAGATCCCGGCCAAACCGTTGACCATTTCTCGCAACAGCAGAAATCTTGCTGTCTGCTAGGCCTTCAGGCCAACACAACGGCCAACAAAAAGCGCAACATGTTTGGAGGAAAGCGCCCAGTATGCCGCTGCCTTAACACGCACATCTCTCATAATTGTGTCCTAGATTCAATTCCTGGCCCAGAACAGATGTGATAAAGGTGTTATGCAATGCAAACCTACGGACCATTGAATGCTTTCTCCATGTACTGTACAGGCAGTCCCCAGTTTATGAGGATCTGGTTTACAGAAACCATTACTGGGTAGTTACAAATAATAGACCCATTTTTTATTTACCTACGAAAAATCCCAAGCTATAAATTTTTTTTTACTGATGCGTTAGGATCCCAGAGTTTGACCTGATGTCAATGGAAAGAATAAAACGTTAAAAGGATAGTCCTTGCAGTCTCACATTGTATCACAACTAGTAGTGGAGCATCTCAGTAACTTCCATGTCCTTCACTGCATGTATTTCACTTAGAATGATTATAATACGTATAGCTTAAAATCATTGTATACTGTACACCAAAATAAGTCATTAAAAACATGCTTTGTATTATTTTAGGATGATTTGGGGAAGGTTTTCTTTTGTGGGAATGTATTTCAGTCTTTATAATGGAAGTCTAAGGGAAAATATGATTCGATTTATGAAAAACCTATTTACTAAATGTTTTTCTTGAACACAACCATTTTGTAAATTGAGGAATACTATACAGTAAACCCCCGCTTTACACGGTTTCACTTTACGCGTTTCCACGTTTACACGGTACCCTGCCGAAACCGGAATGCTCACTTTCCGCGGTGTGTGTACCCTTTTACGCGGAGAGCGGTGCGAGCAGGATGCGCACAAGGTCGCCCAGTCATCAAAATATTACCGAGTTCTTCACCCGCCACAGCCGGCCCAAGTCAGTGATAGTGATAATGATAGTGAGGATATGGACTTATAATGGATTTTGAGGGGTTTGACAAAGAGGCCCTGCAAGCCTCTGTGGTGGATAGTGATACAAGTGATACAGGTGAGGGCCAATAATCTGCCCTCTGCCTCGGAACCAACCCCCCATCTCCGTATGCCCAGCCATCTTTTCTACTAATGTAAGTGTTAAAAAACCTAATAATATTGATATTTCTCTTAATTATTAATTGTGTGTGCATACCATCATAAGATTGAGAAGTTATTTTTATTACAACGTAGGTATTGTGTCTGAAAAAGTGGAGTTTGGGGGTCGGCCCGGTCTCTATTTCAATTAATCCCATATGTTTTGTTGTTCACTTTACGCGGGCCGCCATGGGTTCAATTGACCGCGTAAAGTGAGGGTTCACTGTACAGTACCTGTACTCTGGTTTTCTCCTGTACTAACAGTGGATAATATAGGTCATAATAAAGAACAGACCAACAACTCGAACGGCTGGCAAGCCGATAAGTGGTGAATATATATATATGTATATATATATATATATATATATATATATATATATATATATATATATATATATATATATATATATATATATATATATATATATATATATATATATATATATATATATATATATATAAATAATGTGTACAGGTATTTGCTGAAATGCCAGAGTATTTTGAATGTTATTAACAATTGGCATACACTCAAAGCAAGTTAGGACTTTTGTTATTTTTTTAACCTGATCACATACAGCATGCGTGTTATATATTTTTTAAGTAATGTCCTATCTAATACATTTAAAAAATGTAAGAATGGTCTTATATTTTAATGGCATGAAGCTTGTGGTAATTAATTGCACATTATAAATACAATAATGATGTACAGTATATAGAATGTTATAGAATTTTCTTTACAGTGAATATAATTTTCTAGTCAGTATTTACATGGTAATTGTGTTAATTATGTTTATTATGAATATTTACAGAAGGTTTATCCTATAAGTTATCACACTTCATTATTGTTGCTCTTAAAGGGTATAGTTGGGAAAGGTAAATAACCAAGTAATTAAAGTGAAACACTGGGGATTCTCAACAATGGATCCATCATTCTTTTTCCCCCAATTAGAAATGAGAATTTGTATGTTACAGTACTGTATTTAGGAGAGAATTTGTCCAGTGTTAGTCATTTTTGGCTGTATCATTAGTGCCACAGTTTAAGAGTTCAAAGGTGGCTATTTTGACAGAAGGGGAGAGAATAATTGTTTTTAATGTGCATATAGCACAGAAAGAATGTCAGATCACTTTTGAACCTCCAGACTTAAATGTGGACTGTATAAAATTTCAAGTGTATTGGGAAGGTTTATAACCCTGACTCATCTCTATGGGAAAGGCTTAAATTCAAATGTTCACAGTCTGCATGATTTTAATATCAACCAGCAGTTTTCATTAACTTTACATACATGCAGACGTTAAAAACATTACCTGCCACCTTTGAAATAATCCCATAATTTTGTGTGGTTTTCTAAATATTGAAAAAGATGTCATGTAATTTTCATTCATGATCAAATGGCAAGGGTTTGGATAAAACAAAGAAGTAGGTTTTTGCAATATTTTTTTCACTGTTTATGACTATAATATATAGTTTTAACTTTTTTATTCCAAGAGTGAGCTGGAGTATGTGAAAAATGTCTGTGAATGTTCAAGTACTGCTCACCAAAAAATATTTATACAGTAGTTACCTACATATGGTGTTACATTAAAACCAGAGTTTGTCTCTTGGATGTAAACCACCAAAACAGGAGGCCCTTGGTATTCATGAGGGTTATGTCCCTCAGGTAACTACAAATGATATTCCTTCACAGTGTTTGTTCTGCACACGGTGATTGGTATAAGGCAGTTGAAGTTCCCAGTGCACATAATTAACCATGATTTCAACAAGAACAAATGGTGTATCCAGTAAGTGCAATAAATATGTACAGTACCTGTAGTGATGAAGGCAGTATTGTTTGCACTATTTTTGTACAGGTGAATAGCCTTCTCCTATATGATGGGCACTGAAGGGTAGTTTTCTGTTTGGTTTTTGATCTACAGGCTTAACACTTTATTTACTTTAAGGTTGCTCTTTGAGGAAGTTGTTGCTACAGTAACCCCTGTTTTTTTTAATGTACAAGCAGTGCACAATTAACTTGATGCCATAATGTCTGCCCAGTGATACCACATTCGGTGCGTTGGCTTAAAGACATCTTTTTTTTCTTCCCTTTAGCATTTGATTCACTCACTGCAATACCACATACTTTTTTCTTAGGTGCCATGATTAAAGCTAATATTATTCACAGAAATAAACAAAAATGTTACAATGTTGGCTTATAAAGAGCAGCCTGATATTGTCACAAAAGCTGCACATTGTGCAAGATACCACAGTCGCCCACATGCACTGTGCCCCACTCTTAGTTTCCACAGGGAAAGAGAGAGTACTGCAGCCAAGAACAAAGAAACCATGAATGCTGAGGGTATCCTGTTAACAGTTGAATTGCAGTAATCATTATGTACTTTGGTTCATTTACAAGAATAATTTTGTTTAAATTCATATGTAGAGGAGGTATATCCATGGAAGTTCAACCTCCTTGGGTATACCATAGCAAGGGACTAAGTACAGACATCCCTCCTTTAGAGCAGCTGGTGCGATTCTGAGAAATGGCCTCCATATAAAAGCACACCAGTGAAAAGCATTTTCCCATAAAAATACATGTACAATACAATGAAAGACAAAAGTCGTGTCGTGAAATTTGGTGAAAACATATGCCGAAGAGCTAAACTTTATTATAGTACCTGTACAGTACACACAGTAGATGCAGCTACACCCATTCAGTTAGCAATATCAATCCTGTGATTAACTTGCTGTATTTAATTTGACAACTAAAGTACAGCAATAGACTTCATTTAGCAGCAAGAGTGGAAGACTTAATTTAGGCATGATGAGGCTTAAATTACAATTAGTAATTTCCCACACTTTATAACAGCTGTTAATCAACACAAAATAATGCTGTAAGTATTTATATGGCATATAAATTCCAAGTATTGCAGTGTAGTACCATACAGTTTCCTTTCAAATAAGCACACAATACATGCAGTATAAAGCTTCCACCAAGTAACCAACCTTTAGGTAAAGTGACAGTGGTCAGCTTCATCTCACATGTGCATTGGGGACTGCCAGTTTCTGTGTCATGGCAGACTGTGCTAAACTGAAATTTGCTACCACTCTATAAGAGGGAAGTACATAATAAAATGAACACTGTGAATGGGGGATACCTGTACTGATCATCCCAAAATTTTTGCTATATGGAGAGAGGTTGTACTCCGAGCTCAATAACACAGCGGTGAGGTTGTGTATTAATAATGTATGTCAGGAACGAATGTTCTGTATCCATGATGAATTTAATTATTAAATACTTTTAATACATAATTTTTGTATTCAATTCTAGCAGAAGAATATTTTGAAGTGTATATATATTTTATTTTATGTGAGGATTCATGGCTTTCAAATAAAACTGATGTGCAAATTTTGACTTTGAACACCTCTCCATCCACCAAATATCTAAATTAGCTTAAACAAATCCAAACTAATCTATAAGTGGCTATAGGGTGAGGTCTCTTGTAATTGTTATAATTAATAGAACTTGCTTCAACCTCCTGTAGTTTTATAAAGTACTGTATACAGTATACTGTACAGGCAGGTAATCTTTTCATTACTTCAGGGAGATGCAGCCCTGCTTTGCCAGCCATTCCCACACTGTGAGTTGGTGTTAGGAAGGGTATTCAGCTGTAAAACTTTGCTTCAACATGTGTGATGGCCACAGGGTCACCAGAATTGTACCCATCCTTTCACCTCTGCTGCATTTTTTTGGCTGGCAACCTGTACCCTAGGTTTGCTGTGGTGAGCAGGAGGACATCTAGTTTTACACAACAGCTACCATCAGGTAATCGCAGCAGACCCATGCCAGTACGGAAAACGGCTATATAATATGACAATAATTATGAGGATATGCTAATTATGTTTTAAAATCTTCTTGTACATCTGCAATGGCAACATAGAGAAGATAATCTTGATAAAACCCACGCAGGAAAAGGGAAACACAGCCGATTTAGCTCCCGGGATTAACTGACAGTGCAATGGCTATGTGCCTTTTTGAAAGCTGAATTAATGAAGGTCAAGGACAAAAACTTGAAGTTAAAGGAAATGATTGCAAGGATGAAGGAGGAAGACACACTAGACAGGAGGAGTCTGTGTCTAACAAGAATACAGACCAATGGAGGGTCGTGAGGAGAGACCAAACTGGTGGTGAACAAAGACACCAAGGAAACGACAACAGCTAAGTGTACTAACTTTTTTAATTCCTTGGCAGATGAAATGGACGGTAACAGTCAAGGGCAAGGCTGACAAGGAAGGTACAAAAACCTTAATTGTTGGTGATTTCCAGGTAAAGTACCTAGATAGAGCTTTCTGTGCCAAAAATAGAAATAGGATGAGGGTGTTTGCCAGGGGCTGGGGTGGGGGATATAGTTGACAGGATGGACAATATCTTGTCTGGTAATGGGAACAAACCCATTATCTGCCTCGGTACAGGAGGCAATGATATTGGCCAGTGAGGAGCTCCTTGATAAGTTCAAGGCAGCTATTGACCAGATTAGGGTGAAGGGAGGGATCCCTATCATTTGAGACGCTCCCATTGATAGTGACGAATCAACCAATGGCGCCCAAATCAGATTCTTAATTCAACAGGAAGCCCGACTCTTTCTTCACCCAATACAGGTTTTATTTGTCATCCTCCGACAGCAGTTTCAGTGTAGCAACTTGTCTGTCCAGGATTTGGCGAGACAATTTCTGTTACCTGGATGGTGTGAACTAAAAGTCCCAAGAAAACATAAGTCCAGCAAGTTAATGGTGGACTTAGTTTCTGCTTGTGAAACTTGGTCCATAACAGGTGGAAGTTGTTTCACACAATGATTGTAAGTCAGTCTTTGTATAATGGGTGGAAATCACTGTCTCTAAATGATGGGTGGAAGTCAGCCTTCAAATAATGGTTGCAACGGGCTGTGCAGATTAGCAATGCCCAGCGGCTCAGACTAGAGGCTGGACAAGTGATTTTTCATATCTGTGTGCAGCACATCCCCAGTGGACAAGTTAATATTATTTTGAGAGGAAGAGAATATTGCAGGAGCTGCGTAACGCAGCCTCCCCTTACAAGTTGAATCAGTGAGGTGGGGGGGCTTGACCTGACGCCATATAGTGACGTGTCACAGCTGAGCTGATCCCCGACTTTTCTTTTCCCACATTGACTTGACCTGCTAAGAAAGCCCAGATGCATGCTACAGCCTCAGTGATGTCACAGCTTATCCCTCCTACTTCTAGTGGTCTGTTCTCACAGTGACCTATTTTGATAATTTAGTATAAAAGCTCCTACAGATTACTATGTATGTAGAGTTGTGTTACAAAATGAAGAGAAAACATCAACATGAAAAAGAAGCAAAGAAAATCGACAAGGTTCTTAAACACCATTGTATTCAGAAGGGTGAGGGTAAAAGGGATTTAGATGCACACAAGTGAACTGTGAGTTGATGGGCACATAAATTTCAAAATTTTTACATTTTGCTGAATTTTTCCCTTAAAAAATGAGCAAGCAAATTTCCTCCAAAATTTGTCAGTGTAAATAAAAAAAAATATTTGTGCAAGTAAATTTCAAAATTCACTTGACCATGAGAGGTAAATATTTCACGTAATCTGTTCAGCTTGGGTTGCAATTTCATTGTTTTTTACATAATGGGTGGAAGTCAGTCTTTGCATAATCGTGAGGAGTCACTGACTTTGGACAAGGGGAAGGAGTTGCTGGCTCTGTATGACAGGTGGGAGTCACTGGCCTTGTAAGATGAGTGGAGGTCACTGGTTTGCATTGACAGAGACTGCTTAAATAACCCAGGTCCCTCTGCTGACTGTTCTTGGCTGTGGAGGATGGTCCTTAGTTTGAGAAACAACCTGGAAAGTTTGTTATTGTCAAAGAGAAAAGATTGACAAAATATCTTCTAATTTTGGAAGCATGTTATTCACCCAGGGTAAAATAGTTGATATTTGAAGTTTTCTTCATTATAAACTTCAAAATCCATTTAATACAAGATGTACTGTGAACTTAAGTTCTTTAATGAACTTAATAAAGTAATACCTAGTACTGTACTGTATACTCTAATCAATATACAGTATATACAGTGTATTTGAAACTGCTCAGTAAATTGTTTTATATATTGTTATAAATTAAAAATAGTCAATAGTTCTGTTTATCTTTGAGACTGCAGCCATACTAATAAATAAATTTAAAAGTGTGCTATAAGTAAATTAAGCCTTATAGTTCTCAGAACAATTAATTTAACAATTTTGGAAAATTCCAATTTCCAAATTGTATTCTGGTTATCTCTTCCACAACGGAATAAAAAGTTATTCACACTACTAATCCCTTTATGTACAGTTGTGAACAAAAGTTTGCTCCCTCCCAAACTTAAGCAGTATCACCCTCAAATGAAATAAAACAGCACACCCTCACGAGACAACAGTAGGAAAAGTCAGTTCGGGGACTCATTCCTGTGATTTGGTCTCATTACGGGGATTGAATTTTTGTTTGCGACTGTACATACCATGGGTACCATTAGCCAGTTATTTAGAGATCCAGGAAAATTAATTTACTAATATAGAAAAGCAAAAGACTCTTAATAGATTTAAAAACATTATCTCTACATCTTTTACACTAAGTAATTCTCCATAAGTACTGTATACAGTAGTACTTTTATTCACATTCTTAAATAAACCAAATTCTGTGATCAGCATTAAACAGGTACAGTATAGGCAGTCTCCAATTTACAAAAAGGTTCTGTTTCTGAAAAACCTTTCATAAATAGATTTTTCGTAAACTGTATCCCATTTTCCCACAGACTCCCATTATAAAAGCCATTATACAGGTATGTTCCTATGGGGGAAGGGGTTCTTAAAATATTTCAAAATGCAGGTAACTCGCATTTTACGCGTGTTTGATTTAAGAGTTTTTGGAATAACGCAATTATTCAATTAATACCAAAAGCTAATTTACACTCATCTATTTTTTAAATAACGCACTCCAGACAGTTTAAATTTGCCGCGCATATTTACCGAGTCTCCTGGCAGTGGAGTCGCGTGTGATACCTGGCGAGGTGCTTGTAAGTTATTACTATAAAGTCGCAGTCATATCAACATCAACGATTTTAATATTATTATTAATAATAATAATAATTATTATAATAAGATAACAATGAAGATTATTACTACTAGTGATGAAGATAATGATGATAATGAAGTATTCTGTACAACAACTGTGACCACGTCTAGCAAGCTTCCCGGGTATTACTTTCTCAGTTCACACCAGTACTACTTTTTCTCTGTGCTCTCATTTGCATTGTGTGTTTATCACGTAACTTTTTAGTGTTACCGGTAAACGCTGTTTTCCCCATTGAGCATGTCTGGAAAATGTTTATCTGCCTCCTCTGGGGCGCCTAAAGCTAAAAAGGCACGAAAAACAATAGCAATGGACGTGAAATTAAATGTGATCACCCGCCTTCAGAGAGGAGAGCATGTGTCGGAGGTTGGCCGTGTGCTTGGTTTAAATGAGAGCACTGTTCGTACCCTGTGCGGTATATGATGGTTCCCATAACCTGTACCATTTACATGTATTCTTATGGGAAAATTATGTTTAATTTACGTGTTTTTGAATTAAGCGGTGGTTTTCAAGAACGTAACCCCCGGGTAAAATGATTTCCGGTGTACATAATAAATGTAAACCAATAATAAATATACTAAGTAATGCATCCAGTACAGTACTGTAATAATTTTATACCTCCGAGAAATCATAGTGTTTGAAACTTACTGAGAAATTGCGCCACTAGTTGTGGTGAAGTGCAAAACTGCGAGGCCTAGCCAGGAGATATGGTTTTAATTTTGAAGTAAAGTAAGTCCATTTCACTGTACATAGTGTACTGTATATATTTTGAGATGTTAGATAAACTTTCACTGGATTTGATTGTTGATGAGATTAAATTGGAAGAATAAATGCTAAACTTATCAATTTAACATTTTATTCTTTCCACTGACATTTGATCAAACTTTGAGATATTAAACACATCAGTTTTGCGAGTGAAATGCCAGTCCTTCACCTAGCAATCTGTGAGCTATGATAACTAAAACTCTAAATGTATTTTATTTGTAACTTTAGTTAACCATTTTTAATACATTAAGTAGAGTACTCTATGTTAATTTCAGTTTAACCTTTTCCTGCCGATTGTCACTCTTTTGAATTTCATTCTGGCTACCGCCAGAAGATTTTATTCAGCTTAGAGAAACCTCCAAAACTCAAAGGGTTAAAACCTATTTCAATTAATTGTCTATACAGGTATAAACTGACCAGGTCTGGTATGGGAAGCCCCGAAATGCTTGTATCAGCACCTCAACGAAAGTTTCTTCTTAACTTTGGATTTTTCTTGCGTAAATCAGTACATGGGATTTTTTTATGTAAATCGAGGACTGCCTATATTACAACACTTGCCTTTTCCATAAGTTTTGTGGTTTTGTCATTCTGTCTCAGTCTACTAGCCACAATCTCTCCACCAAAAACTGCTGCAGAAGTTGCAAAACCTATTACCAACATGAAGAATGCTGCCTGAAAATGTGGATTGTGTTTAATAATAATAATAAAATTAATAATAATAAGAAGAATAAGAATAGCAGCTGGTCTTTTGTTTCTCAGAAGCACCAGTTCAAAACACTACATAGTCAAGGATCTAAGAATACTAAAAAAAATACTTTAAAAAGATCACAAAAAGTGACAGTTTGACTTGTATCATTCATATACCTTTAAGTTGTAACACTTCCTAAAGCCTGTATTTTCCATCACCATACCCTGTTCAGGATCATAAGTTTTCAAAACAGGGAGGACTTATGCTGTTTCTTAAAGGCCTTCACAGAAATAAGGTGCTTCATTGATGCAGACAACTGATTGTACAATCTGGGTGCTGTATACGAGAAGGATCAGGCAGCAAAAGAACATTCCTGTATACTGCTCTAGGCTCTTCAAGGTATGAGGATCATAACTACTATGCACAATCATTTCAGAACTTGTGGTCAGAGGATTCAGTAGATTGGGCAAATACTTAGGCTCATCAAACATAAGTGCCTTAAAAGTCATTAAGCAGAGTTTGAACTCTATCCTACCTTTAATTGGGAGTCAATGCAATTTGATCAAGAATGGGGTAGTGGGAGTCCTCGATGAGAGAGCAAAATTAAGCCTGGCAACCCTGTTAAACACTGTTTGTACTTTCTTCAGTAGATAATTAGGCACTAGTCAACACAAAACAAAATTAGTGAATGTAATAGTGTCACGAGACAATGTCTATCCAAAAACCTACACAGAATATAGATTTCTAATATGAAAGCTTCAACTTTTAACCACTGAGTCTATATGTTCTTTAAAATTAAGTTTCGAGTCCAAGTACACTCCAAGATTACGAACAGAATTGACAGGACTGAGTTGTACTTCCACAAACTTTAAAGAGCCAAAATAATCTGTGCTGTCTCCCCTCTTATTTCCTTGATGACAATAATCTTGCTTTTGCCATCATTTAGCTTTGGTTTTCTCCTAGCCATCCAAATCTTAATATCAGACATCAAGAATTGCAATATCTCCTCAATATCCTCAACATTTATTATTTTCACATAAAGCTGTGTATTATCGGCATAGCAATGGTAGGCAACACCATAAGCAACCAGCAGAAGTGGTCCCTAAACTGATCCCTGTGCGACTCCATATTGCAAAGGGACCGGGTCTGAAATGGTTCCACCAACCATAACACATTGAGATCGTTCTGATAAATAAGAATCAAGCAGTGAGAGTGGTTTCTTACGGACACCAAATGATCAAAGATCCTGAAGCAACAAATGATGATCCACTGTATAAAGGCTACAAAGAGATCCAGCAAGAACAGGGGGGAGGACTTTCCTGTACAAGTGTTTATTACCAAATCATTATGAAATTTGCATTCGGCAGTTCTAGTTGAATAAGAGGGATCAATTTATTTCTCTGTAGCAGAGGAAATAACTTATATGAATACAAAAGCTAAGTAACAAACAGAATCTCAGAAACCTGGTGTCACATAAATGATGTTGTTAAGGAAATACTCTTGAACTGCCTTTTTAACCCATGACATGACTACACAAATAGTATATGGTTCCATTATTGGCCAATATCTAAAGTACTAACCAAAATTCATCAAGATCATTTGACCCAGATTTGAGATAAAATTTATTACCTGTAAGTGCTGAATCTTAATGGCTGTTGGTCCAGTCTCACTCGTGGGGGAGTTGTTCTTGGCAACCTTGTTCACTTCATTATCTGCCCACTTGTACACCAGGCCAGCCTCTGTCAGTCGTAGAAGACTAAGAAAGGGGATAAAATTGTGTAAACAGACAAACACAGAGATGAAAGAAGAATGAGGAAACGTGTTTGTATTTCTGAAATCTCTACCTTAATGTAAGCATGAACACCGTTCACTTTCATCGGGATATTAAATATAATATACATTGAAAACAAGAAGAACCCTCACATATTGCTGAAAACTTCCTTGAAGGGTGAGCCACTACTGCAGGCAATTCCATAACCCTGGGGTAAGAAAGTTTCACGGGCGATGTAATAATTTGCACGTCCTTGCTGTGTGGCTATCAGCTCAGAGTTGAGCTGGGCATTGATGTATACATATTTCTGCTTCAGGATCTGCCATGGGGAAAAATACTTTGAGTAAAGTGTCTCTTATATTCTCTGAAAATAATTAAAAAAAAAAAAAAAAATAGAGCTGATCAATGTACAGTTGTCACCGTTAATAACGGGCACAGTGGCTGGCGTGTCTAGTGAGATGAGGCACCACCGCCCACAAGGACAACGAATTGTAGTCAGTGACATTCTACTAATCTACTTGGTAATCTATATTAAAACTATAATCTTGCAGGAAATGCACACATTCACAAACAGGGACGGCGGCTGCTTATTTACCATCCTTGGTCTGGTTAGTATAGCGAGGGTAGTACTGTCCATTCTGCTAGCTTTACTATGATGTAAACAATCAGTGGTGCCACATCTTACAACCGTACAATCAAAGAAAAAAGTCGCATTACACTTATCGCGCCTGATGTTCTGAAACCCAAGATAAAGAATTTGGGTAAAGTTCCGCGTTCAGACTCAAACCTCGAAGCTTCACTGTCACTTTACCCAAATTCTTCGTCATGGGTTTCGGAACATAACGCTAGGGGGGGGTGTAACACGACTTTTTTTCTTTAAATGTACAGTACATCTGCCCTACAATCTAACGCATGTTACAGTATATCCAAGAAACTAATTTCAGCTAATTTAAAACTATTGAAATACTGTATAATGAAACCTACGTATATAAATAAAAGTATACAATAGCCTCAGATTATTCCACAGCTTTTTCTTCTGCGGCTACCTAATTACTACCATTTTGCTATATAAAGCTTGAGAAATATATAATTTCTTAATATTATAAACGTTTTTATTTTTAATTATCTATACTGTACTTCACGTGGTGGGAAGTGACTGTGTGGATGTCATCCCGAACCAATGCATGATCACCCAATACTACACAATAGCTCCACTGTGAGCCATGATAACTAAAACACTACCGTATATGTATTTTATTCTAAGCATAGTTAGTACACGGCAAGCCCTGAGATGCCTGTGTTAGCATCTCAGCATCATCTGATGTTGTGAAAATTAAAAAATCTTAATTTTAGTTTTTTAGTTTTTTATTTAAACTTGGGGACAATTTCTTTCCTAACTCGGTATTCTCATAAACTGGATCTTCGTAAATCAGGGGCTGCCTGTAATATTAGGAAAACTTATCCCTTGTCATTTTTAGGTATTTTCATGAAGTAAGAATGAATTTATCTTCTATAGAAGATTTTCCTCTAGTTCGTAGTTACCATACATAACTCTCATCTACTTTTACTCCCAATTCTATGGGTCACTGGGTCGGTCAGAAGCAGTATGGTTGTGATGTACTGTATTGTGTTATCTTTTTTGTGTGCAATTTTCTTAGCCTTTGTACTGTATAGTAATATTTATTTTTCAAGGTGTATAGGAGTGCTACATTTCTTGGTTGTGCTTAGTAAACAATTAAACCTTTTAAGTTTTATTTGGTGAATTCTTTGGGGTCTGATATTTTTTTTATTTCACCAAGGTTCTCTCTCCTTTTCTCGCAAAATATCCTGAGGCTACTGTACAGAACTAAGATACTGTAGTATGGGTATCTGGAATAGATGATGTAGCACTGTAGGTCAGTGACAAAATATCTCTGAAATTGTATGAAAAAATGTAGTACTGTACTGTACCAAGAGAATCATATAGGGGTGGTATACGGGTGTTGGTGGTACAGTGGTAAGGCGTGTAACTCTCACCAATAAGTATATCAAGGGTTCAAGCCTCGGCCCCAGACACAAGTGAGAGACCCTACCAAACATCACAGGTTTCTGTACTAACACTGGATCAAGGAAAGTATATACTTTCCTTGCACTGGATAGACCAACCGCCTGAACGGCTAGTAAGCTGATAAGTGGCGAAAATTATAAAAAAGCCACCTAAAAAGTAAGAGTCAGTGGATATTAAAGTTGCTTTAGTGGAGGAGGTGAAGTTAAAAAGCTGTTAAGGAATATTGAAGCTCTTAATTCTCTAAGTCTCACGTACCTGTAACATGAGTTATGATAATGGAAGTACAGTATTGTAGATCATGAGAGGCAGGAAAAAGGTAAAGCGGAGATATAAAAACAGAAAGAGAAGGGTGTGAGCATGTATGTATGTGTGTGTGTTGGTTATAGGATTTGACCACAAGTCATCTCACCATATCAAAGCCACTGGCTGGCGTGGAAAGAAAACTCTGGTCCCGATCCTTATGGTTGAACAGCTTCCACACTTCATGGTAGATTCCACTGACTGCCCCCTATAATAAAAAAGAACTGATAATACTTTTTCCTAGTATAAACCAGTCCACTAATTCCATGACGTGCTCAAGTTATTTGGTTCAAGGCTGGTGATGAATGATACAGTACTATTTTGTGTAATTCCACGTAATAACGTTAAATTGTAAATAAAACCTCCTAGCAACTTGCCCTGCGGAGCTGTAAAGTACATTAGGATATTCAGGTAGTGGGTTGGAGTGAATTCAACATGAAATAGGCTTGACAGTGGTAGATCATGGATTATCACAATAATTCATATAATCCATGATTCACATGTCTAAAAATATAAACAGTGGTGTTGGTTTATTGCTATTATAAATACAGTTGGGTCTTCATTTACGCGGTCAAATGAACCTGTGGAGTACCGCGTAAAACGAGAAACACGTAAACGAAATAACAGAACATTTGGGATTAATTGAGAATAGAGAATGGGCCGACCCCCAAACTTCACTTTTTCCCGACACAATACGTACGTTGCAGTAAAAATAACATCTTAATTTTATGATAGTATGCACACATAATTAATAATTAAGAGAAATATCAATAACATCAGGTTTTTTAACACTTACGTTAGTAGAAAAGCTGGGTCGGCACACGTGGATGGCTGCTGGTTCCGAGGTACAGGGCAGATTAGTTACCCTACGGTGAATCACTTTCACTCCTCGCAGAGGTTTGCAGGGCCTCCCAGACAAACCCCTCAAAGTCCATATCGTCACTATCACTATCACTGACTTGGGCTGGCTGTGGTTGTGGTGGGTTGCGGACGAGGAAGTCCTCAATACTATGTTGACGACTAGCATTGATGTTGTCGAGATAGATCTGGATATACGGCTCCATAAATTTCGTCAGATGTTTATTAGACACTTCATACCGATGCTTGTCTGGGTCGTTGTCAAGGATGAGCTTAAGTTTCTCCCCCAACTCGATGATTTCCTTCACATTATCATGGCTTGGTCCAGGTAATTCAATGTTTTTCTCTGGTGGTGGGGATCCCGCGGCAGCCATTGTGAGTTGTGAGGGGAATAGCGGGCACAAGAGAGAACTGTATACGCGGACTGAGAACAATGAGATAGGCCCTGCTAGGTCAGCGACTTCTTCCCTCCCGTGGCAGGGCACGTCATATTACATTAAACCAATCATAGCTAGCGGGGGAGGGAGGTAAGGATGCGTGGCCCAATCACAGTCCGATACGTCATATGATGTCACCGATAACGCAACAGCGACATACTCTGCGCCCCTCCCTGTGCCGCTTCCCCCCGCTTGTGGTCAGGCATGGTGGGAGATGGTGGGAGGTTTGAATCCAAAATAGCATGCAGCTGGACCGCCAGCTGCTCTCCCCGTAAATGACCAAATTTACCGTGTAATTGAAGTATTTAAATTCTGGCAAGGCACCACGTAAATGACCAAACGCATAAACCAAAACCGCGTAAATCCAGACTCAACTGTAGTCTCTTGAGCCTATGTAGCCACCTGATGGTTTCACCGAGTTGAGAAGAGTTCACTATATCTCGTCAACTACTTTTAATTCTGCTAAATTAGATACAGTATTGTCAAGTATCGAGACATTGCTCATGGAAAATTCCTCAAACATACGAGTAAAGTGATCACCTCCTTCGCGCCCGCGCTACGGAGGTCTTTGGAGGGGGGGTGTGTTACGAACCCCTCCACCCAGCACTACGAACCACGCCATCTATTGTCTTGATCTACCTACCCAGCACCACGAGCAACGCCATCTAGGGACGAGACACGAGTATGACTCGTCTTAGTTAACACTCCGGGGTTTCCCTTCTCCATATCCTGGTTGTTGCGTCACTTCCTCCAAGTCTTCTTTGTGAGCTCCAATTCGAGGAGAGAGCACTTGGCTCTGGGAAGTGACCACAGGATCATCTATCCTCTAAACCTACGGTGCAGTGACTACCTACCGTCTTCTACAATACTCAGCCTTACTCGTCAGCCATCTCAGCTCCTCACTTAAGTATTTGTATCTTGTATTGCCTCCCCCACGTCCACTTGCTTCAAGATTGTTTTATGTTTTATTAATATGTATATACTGTTAATGTTTAGGTTAAGTTTGGTTAAGGGTAATTTATAAGCTGAATATTTTGTTAAGGGATTTATGGTACTCTATTATACACAACGAAAACTCGCATCCTTTGTCTACCCTTTTATAGTCCGATTGTCTTTGTTTTTTTGTTGTTGTTACCTGTTGGGATCTGGGTAGACGTATAACTATATTCTAAATCCCCAACTCGTAACAGAAGCGACACCCTGGTGCCTGTCTTCGTTGCCGCTACTAACCCATCAGATGCTACGTGGAGCAAAAAATTCAGCCACTCATCAATAGGAATAAAAAAGTGACGTCACCAAAGCCACGCCCCAGTACGAGTTGATATAAATGCCATGCATAGCTGAGGAAGGCATTCACTCCTATACCCTCGTGTGACCAACCAACTTATTGGCTCATCTTACACTAACTTATTTCATAATTTTTTTTTTTTACGGGGAATAGCCCACCCGGGCACAGGTCATCGACCCACAACGGGGTCGGGGCGAAAAAATAAGAATAGAAAGAAATTAAAAATAGAAAAGGAAAAGGTTATATTAATCTACACCACGAAGATGCCGGAAAACCAGCTTTTTAAAGTAAGACAGACTGTATGAGTATGGAAATACAGAAGAAGGCAGAGTATTCCACAGTTTGGATATGTGAGGAAAGAAGGATGTACTCTAATGGGTAAGTCTAGTGTGACCGACATCCACAGAGAAACGGTGGGCACTGTGGGCAAGACATGTGTTATGAGCCCACGGCCTCGCCAGCGGTACACAGGATCCACCAAACACTGGCCTTTAAAGTACCTGTAAAAGAGGGAGTGAAGCAAACAATGCAGCGAAGAGAAAGGGAAGAAAGAGTGTCAACTAAAAGAGCAGAGTCAATAAGATGAAATGCCTTTGATTCCACCCTATCTAACAGTTGGGCAGAAGAAGAGCCACCCCAGATATGAGAGCAGTACTCCAAGTTAGGATGAATGAATCCCTTATATACTTGAAGCAACTGCTCAGGAGTGAAGTAGCTACAGCATCTGTACAGCATTCCCAGCTTTTGGGAGGCAGCTTTAGCAATGTTGTGGATGTGTGGCTTCCATGACATATTAGAGGAAATGGTGAGGCCTAGCATATCTATTTTAGAATTTGGCAGAATGATTGCGTCCTGAAATGTGATTGGTGGGAGATCATCTAATTTGGAAAGTGTAACTGGTAAATACTGTGTTTTATTAGTATTGAATCTAACCAAGTTTCTACCTCCCCATTCGGAGATGCTGCACAGATCCGCATTGATAGATGAAATGATATCAGCTCTAGAAACAGATCTGGTTTGAGAATTAGGGGCAAGGGAAAAATGTGAAGAAGAGTGAAGAGTAGAGTCATGAGCGTAAGAAGGGATATAAGTAGTCGTAATGTGAGGTAAATCATTGATAAAAAGAAGGAAGAGAGTAGGTGAAAGATCAGAACCCTGTGGGACACCACTATTGGTAGAGAGTGAGGAAGCGATTCCTCGACAACAACTGCCATGGATCAGTTCTCAAGGAAGCTAGAAATTAGAGAAAAAAGAGGGGGGGGGGAACCATAAGAGGGACGTTTAGAAGGCAAAGACTTGTGCCATACCCTGTCAAATGCTTTGGAGATGTCGAGGGCTACGACGACAGTTTCCCATAATCCGTAAGAGGATGACCAAAGATGGGTGCAATAGGAGAGCAGATCACCAGTAGACCTCGCCTGGCAAAAGCCATACTGGTGATACAAGAAAAGAGAAAGGCGTTTAAGGTGACGGAGAAAATGAGGGCTTAAGAATGGTTAAAATATCTTGGAGAGGGATGAAGATAGGGCAATGGGGCGATAGTTAGAGGAATTGGAATGGTCACCCTTCTTCGGGATGGGCTGAACTGAGGCATGCTTCCAAGAAAAAGGAAAAGTTTGGGTTTTGAGGCAAAGGCGAAAGAGGCGAGCAAGCACAGGGACTAGAATTTCAACACATTCCCCCAGAACACGAGGGAGTATTCCGTAACATCAATATGTATTACTGATATCATGCAAAATATGCGAAGAATCAAATCATTATGCGCAGTTAAAATTGTGTATAGCAAGCATATCAGAAGGAATTAGCAGATATATGTTACTAAGCCTATTATGAATCAACCAAAACCAAATAAGTGTTAAGCCATAAAAAAAAATGTGTTATTCAGTAAGCTGGATTATCAAAACTTAGTACTGGGATACACTATCGCCATCTACATCACTGTCCCTTTCTGTGTCCATATCGGTAACATTATTGCTGTGAATACCATTACAAGACCCACATGCTAGATAACATTACAATCCAAACCTCCTGCATCCACAACGACGAGTGTCACATTTATTTTTACAGTTACAATGTATGGCATCCAGAAGGTAAGCTGGAGTTGGCTGTAAATCTGTAGAGACTGGGACCATCTTATTGTCACGTATCATCTATCCCTATTCCTCTGGAGGTAAATCTCTCTCAGACCACTGATGAACTTGATGGAAACGAAGGCTGTGATATTGGGCAGCAGCAGATGTTGAAGGCAGGATTCCTTTTGGTGGAAAATTCTCAATCTGAGATTGTCTAGAGTATTTCCAGGTTCACCATGATACAAGGATACTAATGCATTTTCCCCAGCCTTGATTATACCACAACAATCTACTTCTGTGGACCACAATATAGCAGATTGTTGTCGGAAGTACAGACTGCATTTAGTCCATTCCAGGGCAGTGGGTTTGCCAACACCAAACGAGCAGGACATGGTATCACACCCCAGCATAGCAAGAATGAACAGAAGATTGTCATATATTTCCTTATCAAGTGACTACTGAACATGTCCGATATTCCAGCACCTTGTTGGTTTCTTTGACTGTAGGTTCTGCTCTGGCTGGAAGTACAGCTTAAAGTGGATGTCCTTTGCCCGACTGCAAAGCAAAATAAGGTCTGTCTCATTTCCAACCAAGACTGTGTCGCGCTTTCTGGCCAGTGCAATAGCAGTGCGAGGGATCTAGATATCAGCATCTGCTCTGGCATGACGTATGTCACAGCCTTCTCGCTCCAGTCTGATGCTGACCATGCCCACGAATTGCTGCCTATTCTCAGTGTTGGATAAGAACTTCACTTTACGAATTGTACATACCACATCACCGGTGAATCGCACTGTAGGACCTGGATCACCTTTGGCTTGCCTTGCTTGAACTCCATCTTTTGTTGTAGGACCAGAACGATATCCGTCAAAGATGATGGTAGCCTGACAAAGTTTTACTGTTACATAGCGAGTAAAATTATTTATTATAATATCCTATGTTTCACCAGTCTCCCATGGAACTCGATGAAGGAGAATGTATTGGATATTTTCAGGCAAGCTGTCTTCTTTATTTGGCATTTCCTTCCACAAAACATCGGCCAGTGGAGGCTTGTCAGCTTCTAGTAGTACGTGATGTGAACTGAAAAGAGCTGGAGGGTATTGTAGCTGAAAAGCTCATGTTGAAACACTAGGTCCAGTTCACCAGTGTTTGTACCAACTGTGACTAGCCACTGAAACCGTAGTTGAGGATCGATTGATACAGACTCAAAACCAACACGTAAAGTAGATATCTTCGCCATGTTAATGACCTGACTTTCCTTTTTAAAGATGTACTCAAGGACATTTTGACCCAACATCCCATCCAGAATCTTCTGTCCTACAATAACAGCCATGCCAGTATTCACATCATCTGCAGCACAAACACTGTAAAGTGTTGTAAATGGCGAAAATGGGGTTGTAGAAGATAGAAAGGAGATAAGCTTCTCAGTATCGTGAACATCGCACTCTTGACGTGCACGGGACACGACCTTAAGTTGATCACTGGAGTTGCATGTTATGATTCACCTCTGCATATGATGCTGAATTAGACAACAGTCATATGACTCTTTGGTTCTCTGTTATCCCTCGTCTTCTGGTCAGTACCCTAGTTGTTTTCAGGCTTCTCATTAAGGCTTGTTCTATAACGAAGTCAGAAGACAGGTCTCCCCAGTACCTATCTGAATGCCTCACCACATGAAGACGATCTGAGAAGATTTTGTGTACCTCAGGGTGTTCTACTGATAATCGTGACATGCGCGGCAAGTAAATGTAGATGGACTTGGTGTATGAATTATGTCCTGCTGCTGCAAGGTAAGGAAGCACATCTTGCAGGACTCGTACATGAAGGGCCCAGTCACCGATACGTTCTGACCTCAGAACTATTCTGATAAATGCACCAGTCATCAAAACGTTTGGAGTTTATAACTACAAGTACCAAACACAGTCCACAGAACATGCATTGCAAAAGCAAAGTACACCATCCCCTAAGTATAAGTTATTCTGAATTAAAATATGTGAAAGTAGCAGAAGTAAAAGCCAAGACAAAAAGTATTTTAGCAGAAAAGATGATAAACTTAAGCTGTCCACCACCATCTTATTGTCATGTTGTTTATATACAATACCATATCTCAATAAGCAGTAAAATTATCAGGATATTTAAGGCAAAATATAGTCCAAAAACATAGATCTGCTGTTGAATTACTGTTAACAGTTGCTTTATAATTAGTGATTGAGAAAATATAAATTAGCTGTATGAAGCTATGAACCTGTATATTTTCTGCAATATTTCAATCGGTTTACCGTGAATTGTTTAATTATTATTGAGTGTCTTATTTGTGTTTATGTGGGATTCGGAGCCCAAAATAAAGTGTCAAGTTTCCCACCACACCTAGTCAGATACACTACTATTGGAACTAGTGGTGGGTTTGGCCTACTTTGAGCGTAGATTGACTGGACTAATCAGGTACTCGCAGCAAATCCATGCAAACATGAAAAATGGCTGTAAAATGTTGTTGATAATGATTGCCAAAAATAAAAGTCACCTTGAATGCATCTTCAAAGCTGGAGTCACGGGTGGTACCAATGGTGTAGCCATCATGGTGAGCCTGTGCTAAGTGCTCTAGAGAGTCGATAGGCTTCTCAAATGCTGGGACCGCCAGTACCGCTGTTAATGTTCCTGAATACATTGCTGGAATTATATTTATAAATTAATATGATTCTAAGGAATTGGTATCTAGTGTTTATATGTTGTTTACTTATGTATATTGGCAATGCACATGCTGTTAAATCAAAGTATATACAGTATTGTACTGTACTGTAGTTTCAAAATCAATTATGCCAATAGAAAATATGGGGTTAAGTTTCTAGTCTCCAAATATTATCCTAAAATTCACATAAAAACCCCAAATAAAAGATAATAATCAACCGATATGTTATCTAAGGTAAACGCACCTGAAAAAGAACTCGATGAGTACAGTATTATTTATATATATATATATATATATATATATATATATATATATATATATATATATATATATATATATATATATATATATATATATATATATATATATATATATATATATATATATATATATATATATATATATATATATCATATATATATATATATATATATATATAGTGAAAACGTGGATAAGATAAATCTTGATAAAATCACTTGTTTTTCATAGGAGATATATATATATATATATATATATATATATATATATATATATATATATATATATATATATATATATATATATATATATATATATATATATATATATTTCATGTAGATCCACAATGAAAACGTGATAAGATAAATCTTGATAAACGGAAAAGGAAACGGCACCTAGCTTTCGCTTATTCAAGACCAAAGCTAAGGTGCCCGTTTTCCAGTGATTTTATCAGATATATATATATATATATATATATATATATATATATATATATATATATATATATATATATATATATATATATATATATATATATATATATATATATATATATATATATATACTGTATATGTGTGTGTGTGTGTGTGACGTAAAATAAGCAAAAAAACTAGACGCTGCCAAGTAGGGGAGAAAATGGAACTTGGGAAGGAGAGGGAGAGAAAGGGTACATATAACAGTATTCCAACAGCAATAGGGGTAACACGCATATCTCTCATGACCGTGTCCTCGGTTCGTTCCCCAGTCTAGGTCAGATGTGAGAAGGGTGTTTGCTACCTAATTTGCCTTATTTACCTAATGGCCACTCTAGAGGATTCTTCCTGTATTAATACTGGACAATGAAGGGCATAACAAAGAACACACCAACTGCCCAAATAGAGAGTAATCTGGTAAATAGTGGAAATAGTGAATCAGTACAGGTTTTAGTTCTTCATGAATTATTTACTAGGACTTCACTGATTGACACATTCACTTCATCAGAACAGCAGCTTTGACGACTGTCCAATTTATGTCGTCCGACAATAAAAGTCCAAATGCTAACATGCTTTGTTACAGACGCATGACCTGACCCCTCCGATGAACCCACACACACCCACATGTAAGAGTCGGGAGTTTAATTTTCCCAATTGTAAACACAGTTTTCTTCTGTTACACTTGTGATTTGTTCAAATTTTGGCCACATTATTTACAAAATATATATACTGTATCCTTGAATACCTTTCAACAAATTAATATTATAATTTCCCCATACAAAATACTTATGACTACTCTGAAGAGTAATTTGCGATATTTCCCAATGTTTGGTATTGCAGATGGGTCGAAAATCAAGCAAATGGGAATGACTAATTCTTCTTGATTGTGTCATGTGTGTACAGGCATATGCTGGTGTATGCATTTACCTGTGTATGTGTTGCATATGTGTGTGCTTGTATTATAAAAGAATAAGTTAAGGGTTCGATTCCTACTTGGCCTGGGAACACGTGAGAAGGGTTGTTATCTAGCATGACCCTACCACACATCACAAGTTTCCTCCGGGCACTCCGGTTTTCTCCTGTACTAACTACTAACACTGGATAAACCAACCACGAGAAAACTGACAAGTGATGAAATGATAAATAGAATGTCCCATTGAAAGAAAATAATCATGAATAAAATAAAATAAAATTTTTGGATGTTATGAACATCTGAAGACTTACTCGCAGTCTTGCATATTTTTCTTATTTTCCATTAGCAAGCTACTTAGTATTACAGACTTTCATCTGGGGGTACATTTTTCACCAAGTTATACCAGAGCCAATGCATGTCCGGTACTTGCCAAAAGTACTTAAGAGGGACTTGAACAACTGTTAAGTGGCCAACATACTGATCAGATATGGAGTGGATAAAGAATCGACCAAATACTGACAAAAATTGAAACTGGGCCCTAATAGGCCTAAAAGCCCACTGAGGAGGGGTACATTTACAGCATAGTACAGCATATTGGATAACCTTTATTACTCAAGAAGACAGTGAGGCTGGTACTGCACTCAACTGCATTCACTTCCACAGCTGTAAAGTCAGGTAACAATTCACAGTTGGGTGAGCTACTGTAAGGTTGCCCCAATCAAAAACTGGTCGCGTTTTGCGTGCCAATTTGCAGGAATACAATATTTATACAAAGTGAAGAACCTATCTATACATCAAGTGGTTTAGATTTCAGAGATCAATAACACCTATTGATCCCAAGATATAGAAGATTTTTTGGTCAGCCTCACCATATATATAGAAACAGAAGAGGTACCAGAAGAAGAAGATGAAACGAAGGCTCCAGTGAGGGAAGTGATGTCGATGTTCTGCACCATCAGGTTCCTGTACATGTTGAAGCTAAGGCTCTGCATTGAGTGGTGGACATGGTCCTTCTTCCCCACATACACTATCATTATGTGGCTCACTACATACAGCACTGGGCCCACCAGTGCTGTCACCACACAGATGCAAATCCATACCTGTCAAGGCAAAACCATACATGTGATTTCTTAGATTTACTTCAGACTACACAGTTGGAACAGGAGTAGGTGGACTTAACTTTGTTGTTATGTAGCTCTAGCTTTTAACCCACTCCTTAAATAGGGAGACAGCTTATCAAAAACGCATCCCGTATTCGATGGTCCTGCTTTTATGATAATATTTTAAGTCTCAGAAGCAGCCCTGGTCTGATATAATTGTATATGTAAGCATTTACTCCTTAACATATTTTTCATGTATGTTTAATAAATATTCTAAAATTTCATACCTTTATATCCCAATTCACTTAAGCAGACACCATGTTAAAGTGGACAGTGTACTAGTTTAGTCTTTCAGAGTGTTCTCATTGCTGATGTTATAATATAAACAAATTTGGGAACTGGACACAGAAGCTTTAGGGAAAAATTGCCAAATTAGGGATCTTAGGTAAACCTTACTAGAGTTGGAGCCTCAGTATAAAAACAAGTCCAGAGCATCACATAACCACCGGTATGGTCAAGGGAAGGAGCACCCTGTTCCCAAGTAAAATTAAAGGTAAAAGAGGATATAAGATCTCATTAATAACAGTTATTGCTTCAAGGGTTTGTACCTGGGCTGTGAAGGGAGAAAAAAGACAGCAAAGGCTCGATTTTTCCTTTTAGGCATTTGACACCAGTGTTGTGGACTCCATATAGTAGGGAGCAGTGAAGTCAACCACTGTCTCAATGCCTAGAAGAGAGTTATGCAATTACAGACAAGAAAGGAAAATATGGCTGAAGAAAGTCTCCCTGTCTGGATGTGTAAACAATGGAACAAAGTGAAGATTCTGAATTGATAGTTTTCATATATGCCATGAGTGCAAACTGTGTACATGAAGGACAAATCAAAATTTTACTTGTAAATAACGGTATGGGATACAAATGGAAGAAACGCTGAAAACAACGGGAAAGGTTACTGGAGGAACATATCGTTGTATATGTGTCGTATCTATAAGAACAGAGAAAGTGTAGCATTACAGTAAAGCAACAAATGAATCTGTGTGGGTTGCTGAAGTAAACGAATGTAGGGAAAATGGCACAAGAGAAAATGGCACCGGAAAAAAGGCATAATCATCAGACTTGGAAGAAATGGCACAATAATTTTTATTGACATGTTTTCGCTAAAAGTTTATAACCTAACCTATGCATGCCGTAGCTCATTAGCTCCTTTGTGGTGCATGACCTCGAAGTGAAACTTGTTCTATTTTTCCAGTGCCATTTTTTCTGAGTACCGAAGTAAATATCCCGCAGCGATGTTTACAGAAACCAGTTAAAAGTCCTGAATGCTTTGAGCCCTGAAAAAGACCTATTTCTGATGAGTGAAGACCTGATTAGACAGTATGTGATATCTCCCTTTACAGACCTCAAGAAGACCAATATGTGATGGCCTACTTCCTTCCTATTCGTGGAAGACATGGAATTATGATAGGAAAGGCTTCATTTTAAAGGCTTCTCCATCATAGACCTAAAGAGGACTTACTTGTCATGGAATAATGAGATGAATCATCAAATTATTTATGGATTTCTCCATATATCTGAGGAAAACCTACTTGTAATTGTGAGCTCACAGAGTGTGGCATGTGCCGCTCGGCCACCTGACCCACCAGACCAGTGATGCTCCCATCAGGTTGTGGTCCACCCCAATTGTCATCTGGAGATCACCCGAAACCTGCCAGTGACACAAAGCTACACCAGCCATCCATCATACAGATATACCTAAGCCACCATACAAACCTTTTATAACTATAATTTATCACAGCATTACTGCACTCAATTCATCTCTCATTATAAAGCACAATACTCAACTTTTGATAGATCTTCTATTACACCATTTACTCTTATTTTCAATGGGGTAAGGTGGGAAACGTCATAATAATCCTCATTCCAGACAACCGAAGCTTCACTGAGTCAGACATATGTGCACATATATATAATAATAATAATAATAATAATAATAATAATAATAATTAACGGTTTATTGAAAGAGCTTGGCAGCCAGAAGGCTGAAAATATACAGTTACATATTTGGGGAATGGGTTTCAAATTACAAATAATATACAAAAAACATAAGTGATATAAATAAGATATATAATAACTAGATGGGAAACGCTCAAACTACAGCATTTCAACATAGTGACAGTGCAAGAAGTAGTATTTACTGGGAGTGAATACACTGGTTTATTAAAAGTTATTGATAATTTATAATGGTTGGGACTGGCTGTTCTTATAGCTAATTGGGTTCTGCAGTATGGGCTGGATGCGTTGTGGTGTCGAACAGCAATTCTCGGGAGGGATCTCAGGTGGTAGTAGAGCGTAATGTAGGATGGTGCAGAAGCTTCTTACCAAATTTGCAGATGAGGTGTGGTGATGGTCAGAGAGTCGAAAGGGTCAGTGCTGAGAGCTTCTTGATATGTGGAGAAGGAAGGAGAGAATGATCTTGCATGCCCTCTTTTGCACTTTTCTAGTGTTTACTGTGTGGCGTTTAGGGAGGAAGACCAGGTGGGGGACAGGTGAGCTTGGGAAGTATGAATGTTGAGTAAACACTGAGGAGCCTGTGCAGGAACTCCGAGGGACTTGAGTCGGCAGAGAGATGGAAACTGTGTGTGTGTGTGTGTGGTGTGTGGGGAGTGTAGGACAAAACCCACTTGGGTTGTTAGGAAGTTTGGTTAGGTTTGTTCAAGGGGTTTTGGGTCCTGGGGTCTCACACACACACACATATATATATATATATATATATATATATATATATATATATATATATATATATATATATATATATATATATATATATATATATATATATATATATATATATATATATATTTCATATTTAGTCTATATAACACGGACTTTGAACATGTAATCTACCTCACGCCAGGACTCGAACCTCGACCTAATGCACTGAGGTTCGAGTCCTGGTGAGGTCAAGTGGATTATATATATATATATATATATATATATATATATATATATATATATATATATATATATATATATATATATATATATGAAATAGAAGTAAAAGAGTAAAGGTAAAGAAATATAAGAAAAAGGTAAATATAAAAGCATTTACAGATATTACAGGTGATCTCCCCAATTATCTTCTCTCTCACCCAGTTTGATTTACTGTATGGTATAAGTACATGTAGTACTAGTTGACTGTATGCTTACGAAGTTGAGGAGTCACTGAGGGTAGTGATGACCTGAAGGTCAATACCAGAAATGGGGATGATGGTGCCATTGTCGAATGTGTTGATCTTGAAGAAGGGCCAGTTATCGTTGGTGGTGACCAGCAACCCCGCCCTTGGAAGTCTGAGTACATCTGCTCAAGGTCTGGTATGAGTTCCTCCTGCTGGTTTCCACCAATGTCAGCAGACCAGACTCCAAACATGATGGAATCTGCAAAACATATTGAAGAGCCTTTGAAATCTAGTTATTTTGCTTTTTTCAACTATGACTACATCCATTGTAAGTTATCATATTACATTTTGTTGTAGTTAACTAGCAGAAAATTACCGCATCGGAGAGAAGTTAAGCCTAAGGAGCCTATACGGAATTTCTAAGTACGTCTCCTTTACTAAATTACAATTCTACCATTCATGTTGCCCTAAAATACAAGGAAAATGTCAATAGGGACACAGTGGAATACCATCCTATGTTTTGAATGTTTAAGACTGAAACACGAACATCAAGGTACTTTCTAAACACCATGTATATTGTGAACGTCTTATGTTACCTTCTAGACTAATCTAGAATCACAAAGTAACTGAAGAGTTTTACAAGAAGACAAGAATGTGTTTAAAATTCCCGAATAAAGTGTTTCATAGTAGTACCTCTAGAATCCATTTATCATCACTTTATTTTTCCCTACAATAATCACGCAATTCTTATTTACATTCGTATAAAAACAAAATATTTCATGAATCATACTCTTGGCACAATGTCAGACAGCCATTCACTCTAAATCCTTTAAACTGTTGTTATACTATATAAGTATGTTTATATGCTGCCTTTATTGAATATATATATACATTTACCAAAAGTCAGAAAGTGTTGAGGCTTGTGTAAACACGAAATGTGTAAGGCATGTTGTAACCAAGAACAGAGAATAAACGCCCAGCCAGACCAACCATGTGCTTGTCATTCTCCATTAACCCAAGATACTACAACTGTTAAACCAATTCCACTGTTCATTATCTCAGTCACAAAAATAATTAACAGTGTTAGCTTAGTTGCCATCTGTGGCACTCACCTGATCTGGTCATCGGGGTCAACCCTGGGAAGAAAAGAGGGCGCCTTACGTGTTGTGGCTCCGTATCAACGCCACCTCATACACACAGTTGGCAATTATTTTATGACTGAAACTAACACATCTTATCAAAATTTATTGCCAATCTTATATGCATCACTTATATTTTATCTTCATGTGAAATTATTGGTTACAATGCTGGTACTGTATTACGTTCTCGCTGCTGCTTCCTGCTTGACTGTTTTCTACTTCCCAAAAAAAACATCACCACAGTTTGCGTTATTGCAAAACACAATTTTCACCATTACATTACCATATACTGTAGGGCATAATATCAGTATATCGGCTAAACTTTACAACGTTTAGCTTTCTTGGCAACTTAAAACAGGGTAATTTGTAAAAGTTCATTGACTTCCAAGTGAATTGCTCAGTCGCTGTATTTACTTATTCTAGTAAACAGTGGTATGACTTCACACCTCTATAGTTACAGGCAAAGACTAATAGTCTTTGGTAACAAACAATCAGTCAACTTCTTATTATTCCAGTTGCTGAGAAAACTTAACAGCAGGCACAGTTTATTTGCTAAGTCAACTGGTTTGGTAGAGATTCTACACATGCTGAGGTCTGAGGAGTCTTACCTGAGTACCCTCACAGCATCTGGCAACCTCTCCGTCAGGTCCTCCTATAAACACCAACCACTGTATCGTCGGCGACTCCACCATGTTCTTCTTCACCAGAGGCCAAGGTGGCTCAGCATTTCAGTTTAGGAGGGAGGAGGGAGAACTGGTTAAAATACCGAGGTAAAAGGGCATAAAGACAACAGATACTAAATGACCCAGTACTGTACACTGTAAAGAACTTGCGAGAGGAGGATATTTTGAATATTCAAAGTGGTATAAAATTAAACTAAAGGAGAACTCAATGTTGGGTGTATCTACAGATTCCCGAACTGTAGCTTCAAAAATTGTCAGGGCAAACTTTTCGGAGGGACAAGCCTTGGAACAGTCTGGCACTGTAGAGATACATTCTGGAGCCAGTATATGTCCAAATACCGATCGCCCAAGCGGCTAACGAGCCGATCAAAGAAGAAGAGGATAAAAGTAAAAAAAATAATATGACAGGTCGGATGTGTGTGTGTGTGTGTGTATTCCTTCCCCGCCATCACTAGCACGCTTTTGTCACGCCAGCAAACACCTGAACATCGATATTTTTGTGTGTGTTCCTTCTTCTTTCTGACCAGCCATATTGATTTAGCTTCTGATAATTTTAGTCAACTTATTTTGTTTTATTCATGACTAGGAAAATCGGTAAGATGTGATATAAACAGGTGATGGTGTGCGGCCTGAGTCAACACCGTCAGAGAAGGAAGAATATGTTACAACACGCAGGAATACGTAGTTTTATGTGGCAAACACAATTGATTATGATTTTTACGAGATCTATACACCATTAGGTATCATTAAGTCTTACTATATGAATATATATTTTTTATTCTCTGTGGCTTTAGAAATACTGTGCACACACACCTTAAAATTACAAAGTGTGTATAAAACAATAGTTTAGTTCACTCCTGCACACACACACGAATTTTTATAATTTATATGTAATAACGTCTCACACCATCTCAAGTCTGGGCAACGGCCGGAAGACAAACACAATGTGAATAAAAAAATAAACGAAAAGCTGAACCATCGAACATTTTTATGAAATATGTACTCAACTTTTCATGCCTCGCGTGCTCACTTGTGCTTACTCAATACAATAAGATCCGATATACTTAGTGTATCCTCTTATTGTCAGATTTCCAATATTTTTACTACTAGATAACGACAATTGACGATCTCATGGGCATGTTACCGAATCTATAATCTCACTGTATGATAATGACAGTTTCAAGACGACATGCAGACTGCTTGTCAATATTTCTGTTCTTTGACACGTATGAGACAGTATAGGGAATCTGTCGCTAGCTTTTACTTAAAACAAACAAACAAAAACACAATAACTTACCCCAGTGGTATTCTAAGTCTCCAAAGCAGGAGTAAACTGGATTATTAGTTGAGGAACGGTCATTAATAAGAGAAGGAAGAGAGCAGAAACGGAGGCTGGGCCATGGTAACCACCGGGTAAATAGTAGGAGTTATGCCATTAACAACAACAGATATAGAATGATCAGAGATAACTGGAGTCTGAAGATGAGAGATGAGAGAGGGAAGAGTACCATTTTGCTGTAATTTCACTTTTACAATTTTAACATCTCCATAACTTATTTGATGACACACACACACACACACTGTACAGATGGATAAAATAATAATTGTCTGGATGTAGACAGAATGGAGGGAAGCGAGGTGCAATAGATAACTAATGAATAACTACATCAGTGAATGTCTGGAGTGAAAAAAAGAACTGTACTACGAGAGACAGAGATGAAGTTGGGTATATATTGAAGCCTTGTTGAGCCTGAATCATTATACAAGTGTAAATATAGACTCTGCATCCCTAAAAGGAAGATGTTTATACGTGACAGATGTCAAACATACTTGATGATGGCGGAGACAAATAAATACAGGAAATGAATGGTGACGTTTGAAAAAATGTATGTGTCCCGGTAAATATATAAAGGAGTAAGAAAATTCACAAAAGTTGGTGGGTTTATGTGGCAGTTAGGTCAATAAAGGCAAAAGCGACAGAGATGAATTAGTGATGGTAAGGGGGGTGGGGAAGGGACCCGAGTGATGGCCGCTGTGACACCACCAATTGATAACGTGTTTCTGACAACTTAAATAACCAGTAGATATTGATCCTTGCAGTTTCATTTATCTGAGCTGACACGTTACTTAAAACTCCTCAGTGACAGGACCCAACGTAACCTAACTTAAAGTAATACAAGTTGACCTATGTAATTTAACTTTATCTTAGCTAACGAACCTAATGAAATACTTCTGCACACAGAGGGCGGTAGACCTATGGATTAGTCTACCAGCCCAAGCTGTGGACTTGAGAACAGTACTGGAATTCAAAATAGCCCAAGACACCTTATGTGAGTAACTACTTTGACTAAATAAATGTTGGACCGTACTTCTTCAAACAGGGTGATGACGTGTTGGGGGGAGCAGAGCACGACGATGTTCCTCATGGGCAGGGCGTGGTAGAAGGACTTGAGCGTCTCCATCAACAGCTGACTAGTGGGCCGGTAGGGTAGCAGGGTGGTGTCTACGCCTCCTGGCACGTCCGCAACACGCCACCGCCTACGCACACACACACCAATGTCAAAGGTTAGCCCCTTACACAGTTCACAGTTAACATGACACTTGCGTACAACTGTAAATCGGGACACAAATAAATTATCAGTTTTCCTTGCGCTACTCCAAGTTTCCAAATGGGGCAAATAAAAGGAAGTTCATTCGTCGAGTCACACTGGGTAATATAATAATATAATAATTAACGGTTTATATGAGCGGGAATCGTGATATAATTGGGGATCGCTGATCATTTCTAACTTTTTTCACTTAAAACCCATCTACGTTATCAATGTGTTTCACTTGCTAATTTGTACTTTCCGGTTTCGGAAATTATTCTCGCTCAACATTAATTGTTAATATGGAAGTAGAGGAACGCGAATAAGAGATGCAGCTTTATCCTGACGTTTCGTTCAATACTTTTTCAAACGAATATATACACCATTAGGATAGAGCTCCATCTCTTAGACGTGTTTCCTTCACTACCATACTACCATTTGTCCACAATGGACAACGTTTGCTTAATTGTTATTATCACTTTCAACTGTTGAATGTAAAGGAAACAAATTAAATTATGAAGTACTCTAGAGTATAGCTCAACAGACCTCATTCCGCCAGCCAATCAGCTGCATTGATAAAATCTGCTCTAGGTCCTGGTTCTAAAGCTCATATGAACAGAGTATAGTTGAGGTCGAGTCTCAAAACAAATTCAACCTCACAATAGCCTCCAACTTTGTGCTGCAGGTAACCCAACCAGTTACGCAAGTCTCCCATTCACTAGTTAGGGAAAATATACCTAGTCATCGGAAGATTAAACACCCCAGCTCATTTCACCAGAAGATTAACAGCTCAAACGCTACCTGGAAGGGTAAGGCTAGGTTAGGTTCGCATTAGGGTGTCTAATCTTCAGGTGAAATGAGCTAGGGTGTTGAACATTAGGTTTTTATTTATTGATTTATATTCTAATTAATTCTTACTTTATATATTTTTCTAATTATTTTTTTCCTTTTATTCACTCATATTTTAATTTTATCTTATTCTCTTACCCTTTCTTTAGTAGAGAGGAATGTGTATAGGAGAGAAGGGTAGACCTGTTGCGGTCAAGGCTTGAGGGGTTAGGTAGAGAAAATTGATAATAATTGTAGGAATATGCCAGGACAACATACAATAATTATGGACTAAAGGAAAAGTGTGAGAGTTGGGTTATTACGCGTGACTCACTGCATCACAATATAACACGAAGGCGTTTATGACGTTATACTCAGTACCAGGGGAGGAAGAGTTGATAACGCTATTAACTAAATTTCATTTATTTAAAACATATTATTAATATAACAATCATTATTAATCGCCCACAGCCCTAGCTAACCTCACAGTATAATTTCGAACAACGGATAATACCTAAAGCGCACTTACTTAGATCTTACCATGATGAGCCGAGTCCAGACAAGCCCACACTACACATCAACAGAAAGAACAGTTCCAATTGCAGACTGAATTTGAAAAAACGCGTACTTCACGGTGGCCTATGAAAAACTCATTGGTTTCAGCCAATCAAATCACAGTACCCATGACGTCTTGTCATAGGCCTATGTAATTGGCTACGGCATGAGCCTACACATGGCACTAACACTTGCGGGAATCTCACAGCAAAGACTGGGCGTGGTAGGTGGCTTTCTGGCACAAAAACGTTGACTATTTCTATAAAGTGAAATTTCCTACAATCTTACTCTTACAAACATGACACTATTACAAAGTCAAATCTTCGGGTGAAATAAGCTGGGGTATCTAATCTTTAGGTAAAATAAGCCAGGATGTCTAATCCTCGGGTGATCAGATAACAACGTACAAATTTTGAGGAGTTCAGACACTTAATCTAAAAATAAAAATGGTATATAAACTCCCTTACTGTTAACTGGTGGTGTCTTACCTGGGAGAAGGTCATCATACACCAGGTAGAACTGTGTGCCGGAGGTGAAGGTGATGAGGTAGGACATGAGTTCTGCTACTACTGAGTCCTCATCTGTCTTCTTGCTGGTGATAACAAATATTTGTATATATTAAGAGATAAACCTTAAGATTAGATCCTCTTCCAACATAATTCACCTGGTGATTTATACATCCTAATGCTATCTATAGAAGCGGGATTCGGTTAGAATTGGGTTAGGTTAAGTTAGGTCGTTAAGTCAGGTCAGGTCAGGTTAGGTTAGCGTTAGGGTGGTTAATCTTAATGTGAAATAATCTGAGGGGCTAATCTTCAATGTGATCCCAGTAATACTTCATTCTGAAAAATCTGTCTTGGAGAAATAGCTAAAATATACTTTTTTATATATTTTTTATTAATATTTTACGCAAAGACACAAATTCAAGACAAAAAAGGTTAAAATATTCAGTCCAACGGTCGAAACAAAGAAATACAGTATATGTGAAAGTATGAGTGCAATGTAACAAAATAACGGTAAACCTTTCTCAAGATGCTTTCTGCGTTGACAATTTGTCACATAGTTAACACGATTTTGTGTTCACTAGAAATATGTTTTGGACTTGTCTTTAAATTGTACGCCTAATGATACATTTTCCTACAATTCATGAATGTGTGTGTGCTTGTGAGAGAGAGAGGGGGTACAATACTTACATATGCAGAAGTAGAGGGAAGGAACAGTTAACACAGTCATGCGAGGCTAGGAGAGACCTGCTGCTCCTCACGCTGTATCAAAAACAACAAAACCCTTATTATATTATCAATTTATCACCAACAATTACCCAGAACAATACACAAATGTTACTCATATAATAAAACGAAGAGCATGGCTGATATAATTACATAAAACTCTGGGTTAAAACTCAGCAAGTAATAAGATTTTCAAAGCATCGTACGTCAATTTTCTCCACTAAATAAAGAAACTGAGTTGCTTCCACAATGATGTAGAGGTTACTGATTGAGTGGTACGATTGTTACTCAAGATTCCACAGTAATTAGACCCGTTATCTCATTTTAATTTAAGGAGAAAATTAACAAACGATTCTTTGAGAATCCGAACATGGATCCTCAAAAATTTGTGTGTTATGTGAACAACCTGCCTTCGTGTTATGAGCCAACAGCAGGTTGGTAACACTGTACTAATCTGTACTCTCAACTAACATTAATTATCCCTCCTAGAAGCATCACATCACGGTAGAGGAGAGTACAGAACTACGCACTAATTTCCACCTCATTAAACAACTACTAATATACACTTACATCTCGAGGTGTGGCATTATTTTACACATCTTAACGTTGACTCCTGACCAAAGGGGACACCTGAGACTAACTAACTGGCTTCATTACACCTGGTCACCAAAATGACTCTAATACTACATTGAAACACGTTCTATTATTCCTACTTAATCATAAAATTAAATAAGTTGGAGGTTTAATTTTTAGTTGATGCAAAATATTTTACAGGTCTTAGCGAATCTGGGTCTTTAACCGTAGGTCTTGCCTGTAGTACTGTATAGCGTTCATAATTACCTGTACTGTTGATGGGCCGTAGTAGTGGTGTTGGTGAGAGTGGGCCTGGGTTGTACAACGCTGGCCTCAACCCTTGGTCTGTGGGCATTTGTCTTCCTCACTGTTGCTAACGCTACCCCCAAAAAATCGTTAAACACATAGCAACATACTGTATATGCTGTTCAGTTCTATTTAATCATACATAACAACATCTATCATGTGGTATATTTAGTTGGTAAACTGCATCCTAAACTTATCTTAATTTACTTTTAGAGTAACTAACATAACTGAAGGTCCTCATCATATTCTTTCATAACAAAACATGCTCAAGGCTTGAAAAAACGTTCAGTGAATATCAGTATCCATTAATCTTAATTTCCTTGTCTAGGAAATGGCTACTTGGCCGGAAATTTCCGGCAATCCCGACCACCACCCACAGGATCATTCTCCACCCTCACACTAATCACCAGCTGAGGCAGCTCAATGTCCAGTACGATCACGTGAGACAGCTAGCTAGTATCCGCGGGTGGACGCAAACTGAGAGAACTGCAGAACTTTTCAATAAACCGTTAATTATTACACACACACACACACATATTTATGGACTTATTCATGATTGAATGAGTCCATAAAAACACCAATCATATATAATCACTCACATAAATTATATTCCCGACAAGAATTCAAGTGAATACATCAATTACTCAATAAAATGGTGATGTAGTACATAGACTTGTTAGTTACTTATGGTAGCAGTTGCCCATCACGAGAGAGAGAGAGAGAGAGAGAGAGAGAGCAATGGATGAACATTACTTCATTACTTAGGAACACCACTTCATGCGTCATAAAACCCGCGACCTGACATGCATTCTCTTTTACCGTAAGAACCCAACTGGTTCACTAAAATCCTGAAAAAGTATGGGATATACACCCATCTTATCTTGCCTGTAATACGTAACGCCAGGCACACATGACTAGTAAATAGGTGTACGAGTCTGCCTTTCGCTGCCTAAAGTTCTTCATACTTTTTGCTTTCTCACATAAAATAAAACATTATAATACTTTCCGCCTACTCACACTAAATAAAACTATATAATACTTTCTGCTTTTTCACAAAATAAAACTGCATGATACTTTCTACCTTCTTGCACTAAATAAAACTGTAAAGAGTAAATATAAACAGCTTACCCAGACAGAGGAAGAGCAGGTGCGGGAGCTTCCTCATCTTTTTGAAGTTATTCCTCCTCTGAAAGACATAAGTTTAGGTCTACTTGAAGAATGGACAGTGTTAATAGGAATAAAAAAAATACAACGTATTTTTTTCTTCATGTATTCCAGGTTACAAGAGAAAATGGGCAACGTCTGAATTCAAAAGAAAAACACTAATAAATCATAATCCCCGTAAGGGTATAATCTCACTGAAATTTCGAAGAAAATTTGGCCACTATAATAATGTGATAACTTTAGTGAGTCCAGAGGTTTTCCTACATTCACTGCAAGGCGAAAATTGTAAAGTGCGAATATCCCGTAAAAATACTGGGTATTCATGCTGAAAACAAACTGAAGTATACGGATCACTGTGAAAAAGGTGAATCTTGTTAATAAATTGGTAGGATTACATAAGATCCTACACAGGTTAAGATGGTCCGTCCCCCATAAAGCATTTTAAAGGTGCAGTTGGGTTAATGTAATTCTGTTTGGTCTCCATAATACACCAAACACTGCTAATCGATTGAACACGTTCAAAGAAGGGCCACAAAACTGGTGCGGGCACTCAGATCTCTCAGTTTCGAAAATTTGAGTCTTCAATTGATATGTTTACACTATAGAAGGGCAAGGGCCCATTACGTATTAGTTTATAAGTACCTCAAAGAGCATTACTCAGTCAAGTGTACATATCTTAAGTAAGCGGCTGGCCGCCTCACTACAGGTTAAAGCATTAAAAAAAAAAACTGCTGTAAGTGTTGACACCTCTTCGAATAGCCTGCCAGAGAAAGCCATAGTACCAAGCGTGCGTGAGCTCTTATATGCTTAAGGCTGGCTGGGCCGAGGGCCGCTGAAACATGCATTTGTTTAAGGTGTAAAAACTATCGCCAATGCAAGAACCACACCCTATACTATCAAGCTGTATGATCCACTGTCAAGGAAGAATCCAGGAAGACCAGACAACTCGTCAACTGCACTAGCTAACCATTACCCCGTAACTAGACCCGCCAATGGATTAAGATCAAGCTTCCTCTTCAGTGTTGGGTAGACAGAGGTAAATATCAAATGGCTCTGAATTGGCTCAGCCACGTCAACATTGTCATTATTATCCACCCTGTATCAGTATTTGGCTAAATAAACTGTTTCAATATCAATATCGATATTTTCACCCTGCGCAGGGGTTTAAACCGGGACCACTCACTTGCAGGCGAGGATATTTTTGTTACACGTTACAAGATTAAATCTGTATTTCATTCAACATCTATACTTGAATAGGTATTTTTGCATTATTGCACACAACTTTCCTACCCCAAATCTATTATCATATTCGAAAAAGACGTCGATTAATAACGGAGACAGCGCATCCCAAATCTTTCTCTATTTTCTTCCATTAATCTCCCGCCATTATCGCCTACTCGACCTCCCCCAGCGTGTAACTCAGTGTTTTCATCTACAAATTTACATTCCCGCTATATGAGACTCCAAAACCCGCTATATGAGACTCCAAAACCCGCTATATGAGACTCCAAAACCCGCTATATGAGACTCCAAAACCCGCTATATGAGACTCCAAAACCCGCTATGGACAAAACCTTGAGACCTATGAGACTCAAACCCGCTATATGAGACTCAAAACCCGCTATATGAGACTCCAAAACCCGCTATATGAGACTCCAAAACCCGCTATATGAGACTCCAAAACCCGCTATATGAGACTCCAAAACCCGCTATATGAGACTCCAAAACCCGCTACATGAGACTCCAAAACCCGCTATATTTGACCCCTAACCCGCTAGTTTGTAACTACAGATAATAGCATGTGTTACCCTCTTTATATATACCGTATATAGATATATAGACAATTAAACTGATTAATATATATAAACAGATAGAATGATATATATATATAGAAAGTATGGTACATAGAAGTATAGCTAATTAATAACACACCGGTGGGCATAATGTCACAAAAGTAATATGAATGTATAATCAACATCAAAGGATATGCATCGCCTACCTTTAAAACAGGAAGAGAGAGGAATCATCAAATTCCTCTCCCTCTGTTTCCTCTCAAGATGTACTTGCTCTTGGTGTTGATTTCAGGATTGGTTCACTGACATATGCATTGCCAGTTCCAATCAATTTCAAGATATCAGCCGGTATTTCATATTCAAAACAAGACTTTTCATTTCCTTTCAAACCTGCTCGTATTGCAAGAAGAGCATTAGTCATTTTTTTCCCATTCTATTTCGAAGTTTATTTTTCACTATATTTAACTGCTGAATATCCTTTCTACTTCAGCATTAGAGTCGGGTATGACGAGAACTGATAAAGCAAACTCTGCCAACTCCTTGAATGGATTACAATGTGATACGTCCATGTAGTTATGTACTTCATTCCAAAACAGGACAGTTTGTAAAACTTCTTTCCACTTCACAAGAGTGAGATCTTTCCACTGACTGTCTATACTTATGCCAGTATAATTATATAACTAAAACCGCTAGAAATCCGCCAGACATCAGTTATATCCGCAAAAAAAAAAACCTGCTAGCAGCCAGACAGCAAATTTACCTGCTTGATGGTGGGTCAAAACATCTAGATTTTGCGGGAAAACCGTACACGTACCCGTACACGTCACGCGGCCAATCAAAAGCGTTTATTTGCCACCAATTAAAATTATTTGTGGTTTATTCGCGATATTTTTGGTCCAATCAGATTCGAGTTTTATTTTGGGTCTTATATTTCGAAATTCAAGTTCAGTTCCGACCATAGAAGCCTGCGATGGGTGTCACTTACATTATATGGAGCTGATTGCGAGTTTTTGAAAAAAAAACGAAGAAACTATAGCATTTTTTCGAACGCATGGTGTTCTTCCAACCTCAGTAAAGTGTACTAAGAGCAAGACTGAATGTAAATATCGCAGACCAACATATGTGGCGTTGTGTAAGAATCTCAGAATCCAACGACGAAGAAGAACTGGTCTCCAGGCTAACTAAGGTAAGAAATAGGTGATTCCATCATAAGTTCAAAGTAAATAAAATTTATTATAAAAACACAAAATTGAAAATAAAATAATAATAACACTGATTATGATGATAATAATAATAACCATAAAGAAAAAAAAAAGATAAATGGTGAGAAACGATATACTGTATGTACAGTATGTTGTGTTGTCAAAGTAAGAAAGTAATTATTGCTTGTAAATGTGGTAGAAAGTCAGATCAGCAACCAGGGACTTGGTCACAATTTTCGTGATGTCATCTTTATTTATGATGATCTGTATTTATGATTATCGTGACGTGATATTTACGCTTACCAAGTATAATGAAAATATTCTGTTCTTCACTGATATTAAGGCGATGTAAATTTAGAAATAGCAATACGTGTATATTATTGTATATAGGGTGCCCTGGCTGTCTGCCCTCCCTCCTCTCCACCCCCACTCGCCTTGATCATACACCGATTCGATTTGTATTCTCAAACTTTAGTGTCAGGTAGTAGCACGATTTTAGGAATATATAATGGCAAAAATAGAGTGACGCCTTTAGAAACTGTGAGGGCCCAACTGCTGCTTCATTACATAATACTTGTTTGCCTCTTGCTCGTTCATCACAGCATTGACATAGATGGTGGCTGGACGCGGCATTAGTTTTAATTTAGAGTAGGGATTGGAGCTGTAAACGTTGTGTATAAATATACACTTACAAATAAAATAATGCCTTGTTCAAGGTAATATATTTTTCCTTCACACTGGAAGCAGGAAGATACTTTGACAGTCAATGTCCAATAATGAAATGAAATGTCTGTAGACAACAAATCATGAGCACATTTTTGTAAATGATAGAAAGAATATGGATTGAAATTGCATTTCACACAATGCTTATATTGTATACTGAAACGATTGAAATGTTTATTGCCTAAAGACATTTCAAGGGATATCTATATAAAAAAAATAGATCTCCCACCAATCACATTTCAGGACGCAATCATTTTGCCTAATTCTAAAACAGATATGCTAGGCCTCACCATTTCCTCTAATATGTCATGGAAGCCACGCATGCACAACATCGCCAAAGCTGCTCATCTAAAGCTGGGAATGCTGTACAGATGCCGTAACTACTTCACTCCTGAGCAATTGCTTCAAGTTTGTAAGGGATTCATTCGTACTAACTTGGAGTACTGCTCTCATATCTGGGGTGGCTCTACTTCTGTCCAACTGTTAGATAGGGTGGAATCAAAGGCATTTCGTGTTAACTCTCTTCCTTTAGTTGATAACCTTTCTTCCCTTTCTCTTCGCCGTATTGTTGCTTCACTCCCTCTTTTGTACTTAACGAGCAATGTTCGGTGGATTTGACATCCTGTGTACCGCCGGGAAGGCCGTGGACTCATAACCCAAGTCTTACCCGCGGTGCCCACCGTTTCTGTGTGGAAGTCGATCACACTAGAATAACCCATTATAGTACACCCTTCTTTCCTCACACAGCCGAACTGTGGAATGCTGTGCTTTCTTGTGAGCTCCATACTCTTATAATTTGTCTCACTTCAAAAAGCTGGTTTTCCGGCATCTACATGGAGTAGATTAATAAAGTCTTTTTCTCTTTATTTTTACTATTATTTTTTCACCCCCAGGCCCCGCTGTGGGTCGATGACCTGTGCCCGGGTGCTGTTCCTCATAAAACAAAATAAAAAATAAATAAATAAACAAATACAGGCTCGTGTCTTGGACGCTTAAGCTCCCATTGGTACTATCCATACACACAATTCATATATCATTCTTGTGTCATCAACGTTATTTCTCACCCACATACCACATTACCCTGACCTCAGTATTCATCTGTCACTGTACTCCAGACTTGATGCTTCAGGAATATTATATCTGTATATTAATTAGATTTATAGTGCATTGAAATTTGTAAATAGCATTGCATCTTAGTATAGGCTTCACTGCATACAAAACTGAACTTTCAAGAAAAGATTTTAAATTTTGTTTTTGGTTATTGTACCCTTCGTAGGTGGTACAAGTGGTAATACACTTCCCTC